GTCATCAACCTAACCTCACTCAACTATGAATCATAGTCATAGTCATAGTCATGGTCATCAACCTAACCTCACTCTACTATGAATCACAGTCATAGTCATAGTCATCAACCTAACCTAACTCAACTATGAATCATATTTTTTTAAAATTCATTTATTTATAAAAATGATGATTATTATTATTATGTAATCATCAAATAACAGACAAAAAGAAAATAGGAAAATTTATTAATTTCTTTTTTGATTATCATTATTGACAGCTTGAATAATTTTGGCTAGAATTATTATTATTATGATGATGATGATGATGATGAGTATGGCCACCATCATCATTAATTCGAGGATGAAGAAATATGTTTAGCATCTTTGTTTTTTTTTCACCGTGTGTAAAATCATATCATCCTGTTATGTTTGTCTCGATTATGCACGAACATCAGCAACAGCAACAATGGCAATTAGTTTTTTTTTGTTACATCAGTGAGAACAAAAAAAAATCAAAATGGGAAAAGAAAATCCATACAAACATGTATCACTGATCAACAAGAAAAAAGTGTGATCCAAAAAAGTTGATTTAAAACTTGGTTATTTGATTGAGAAATTTCATCTATCCATATGGAAAAAATGTTTGTTTTTTTTCCAGGCCCAAATCAATATTTTGACAGGACAAGATAGGACAGAATTGGCCATCAATGCAAAAAATATTTGATTTTTTTTGTTTATGACATGCCAACAAAAATTAATTCATTCATTGTTTTTTCTCACAAATTTTTTCCTTCTGTTGTTTTAAGTCAGTCAGTCAGCTGATGATGATGATGAAAATAAATATCTATAAAGATGATCAATATTTTCATAAATATTTCGTAATATCGATGTATCATGATGAATCGTTGTCGATGTTGGCCAATTATGTTGATCCGATAATATGGCGGACATTGATTTATTGAATATTGATTTTAATCGATCATCATCATCATCAATAGTGGCCATTTTTTCTCGAAATATCTGTGAAATGTTTTCATCATTTTGAATCATCATCAATCGATATAAACATGCACAAGCAGCTGAAAATGCATTAATACTATTCGATGATGATGATGATGATTTACTAAAATCTAAAAATGATTTTCCATTCACAAATCGTAAAAATAATTCCATAATATCATCGAAACAATCCGATACAATTTTGTCATCAATAGTACGTGTAATCATTTCCAATATAAACCAAAAATTATAGAAAAATTGTACATCTTGAATCGATTCGGTATCTTGGTTATCGTTTTGCTGTTGATCAATTTCTGATAGAATTTGCATACAAGCTTGACATAATGCAATGATAAAATTTGAATCATTGTTGAAGAAATTATTGCCGGCCAATTCTTCATCCGATTGATATAGAACATCGTTTAAATATTGTAATAATAATCGTAATAATTCTCGATTCAGACAATTTGCCAATAAATATTCAATTTGAGTGTTGAAAAATTCATTTTGTTCATGAATCAATGGCAACCATTTGTTTGGTTGTTTATTCAAACCGGTATTCAGAAATCGTATTAATTGTATCAAAAATGGTATATCGGTTGCTGCCAACATTGATAATGCGTTGGAGCTTTGCAAAAGTAGAAGAAATTTCGGTTAATAAGATCAAAAACATCATCAACTACATGTATCTAAACTAACCAGAATAACGAATTTGTTGAAATTTGATTACAGATTTGATCGTTATGACAAAGATTACCCAAAATACCGATAGCAATTTCAGCTAAACGTTGATTTTCAGTTGAAATTATGGTTTGGATAAAAATATCCGCAGCATTCAATTCAATTAGACATTGTTGTACATCCGAATCGGATGATATATCCCATATTAAACATAATTGATCTTCATCAAATTCGACATTATCACCATCATTCATGGCCATCGTTGACTCATTATCACCAATGTTCGTTGTCGTCGTCCTATTCGATTCATTTTCTACAAACTAAAACCATCATCATCGAAAAAGAAGAAAAAAGCAATCAAATTCATAATCGTTAATAATAATTTTCGCACACACACAAAACAATCGATCAAATTAAATTTAATAATAAAAAAAAATGATCAGTAGTCATTCAAAATGACAAATGTTTACCTTGATCAGTTTCATAAGACCTTGAATGAGCCATTGTTTTGAATAGACCGTTTGGCCGATTGCATCGGACATTTGATTTTTTTTTCAAAGATGATTTGCAAACACAACAAACAGAAACAGCAAACAGCAGAAAACACACAAGGTCCGTAAATTCAAGAAATTTTGGAAAAAAAAATCCTGCTAATTTCTTAAATTCAAATAAAAAAAATAAGATGAAAAAAATTCGAATGTTTATTGCATGACTATTTTGCAATATCAGCAACGTTCATGGTCAAAATAGATTTTCAAAGTTTTCGTTTTTTTTTTCTTTTGGAAAAAATTGATTTTTTTATTAAATTTTTTTTTTAATAACGTTATAAAGAAATGCGAATTTACTAAAATAATTATTTGGCTGGATGATGGATTTAATATTTTCAAATGTTGTTGGCACTATTTTTTTTCTTCAGAATTATCAATCGATTGGAAAAAATTGAAAAAAAATGAGTATTGAGCGAAACAAAAATATCGATTGTATCGATATTCACAGATATCGATTGTATTGTTGTTGGTATCCGGTAGAAAATCGAATCAATAACGAAAACTTGATGAACGATTTGCTCGATGTGATGGTGACGACGATGATGATGATGTTGATGGATTCGTTGATGGTAATGTTGCTGGTGAATGATGATTATTTTGTTGATGTTGTTGATGACCGACACCACCATGATGATTATGATTATTATTATAAACATGACCATTTGCTAATGATAATTTCCGATAAATACGATCATGATAATGTGCACGACCAATTGGTGCATAAAGACCAGTTGGTACGACTGAATAATCCAAACATTTCCATATTGTACTGGCCATTTTTTGTGGAAATATACTCAAAAGCCTATGTATCCATTTAAATGTTTTTGGTAAAACGAAAAATTCTTCTTCACGAAGTATAGCATCGAATATTAATTCAACTGCATATTCCAATGGCATTACTGGTAATAGCCATGGAAATCTTGTTTTAGTTGGTATATCAATACCGGTACCACTAATACCCAATGGGCAAACAGTTGTCAAACGTATCTGGGAATTTTCATCCAATTCTTCGTACATACATTTCATAAAACCAACAACAGCATGTTTACTTGCACTGGTAAGTGAGAAAAAAACGTAAATTTTTTTCGGATAAAATCTTATTCAAATTCTTACCCATAGGCTGTAAAATAAGGACTACCCATTATGCCGGCCGATGATGCAATAGCAACAATATGACCGGAATTATTTTTTTCCATTGCCGGTAGAAATTGTTTGACCGTCTTGTGAAAATAAGAAAGAAAATTGTACGGATAAGTTTCCTTCGTCAATCATTTAACTAAGCTTACCCAAAAATGTGCCATAATATTTACATCAAAAATTTCACGAATTTTTTCCGATTTTAAATTTTTAAATGGTTCACATGGTGCAATACCGGCATTATTTACGAGAATATCTAAATCACCAAATTGTTGTCTTAATTTTTGTGCTGCTTGCGCAACTTGTTCTTCATTACGAACATCAACAACAAACCAGCCAATTTTTTTGATTGTTTGTTGATGATTTAATTCAATCATTTCTTCAATCATTTCGGCTGTTTGTTTTACTGTTGTCTGATCAATGAAAAAAAAAGTTTGAAAAATTTTCTGATAAAAAACTTGAAACAAACCTCATTGATATCCCATAGGATTGTAATGGCACCAGCAGCAGCAAATTTTATTGCCAATTCACGTCCTAACCCTGAACCAGCACCTGTAATCAATACGACTTTATTTTGGACATTTTTCTTACGACTTGGTCGTATTGCTGCCATTAATGGACCGGCTAATGTTTTCATTAACAATATTGTTAATCGGGATATTTGTGTTATCCATAAAAATATTTTATATAAACGTAATAATATTGTCATTATTGATGGTGCTTGTGTTGTTTGTGTTGTTATTATTGATGTTGTTGATGATGATATTGATGAACAAGAAGATGACAATAATGATGAAGATGGTAATGTCCCATCAGTTGTTGTTGATGTTCGTTGTAATGAATTTCCAATCATGTGTAAATGATGATGATGATGATGGGTAGACGTACAGCCAAAAGGAAAAAATGATTTTTCACCAGAAAAACGACGAAGAAAAAGCAACGTTCAAATTAAAATGGAAGAAAATGTTTCCCGATCTATGAATGATGAATTCAGAGACAGGCAGAGTACATCTAAATGAATCAATTTTGATTGATTTTTTCGAAAATCAACAAATCAACCGAAATCAATTTTTGATAATTTTCATAATGTACTTCATCACTTGTGAAATATTCGAATCATCACCAATCAAAAATTTTACCCAGAAAAAAAAATATTAGCAAAAACAAGATGGACGAAAATCATTTTTCGTTATCATTCATCCGATCGACTGAAAAACCAACCAAACCGAAAAGAAAAGAAAAAAACTGTCAACATTTGACAAGCAAGCAAACGAAAAAAAAACAAAACAACAACAGAAAAAGAAACTTTCGATAATCAATCAATTTTTATGAGCAACCAACAAAATATCAGACAAAATGCATACACTGTTGTTGTTGCCTTCGTATTGAAGAAAATGATAAAAAAAAATATCAAACAACCACTTGTTGTTATTCGTGGTTCGATTTTCAAATGCGTGTGTGTGTGTGGTGGTGTTGATACCACTCTTCTTCTTGGTGGAATTATTTGAACACAAGGAAAACATGGAAACTTTAACTGTAAAAAATCCGTGTAGCAGATGATGGTCAAAAATTAGTTGAAGATTTTCAAGAGAAAAAAAAACTAGATAATCTTCACCACCAGAACAACAACTACTACTTGCACCAACAAAAAAAAATCAAAACCGACTAAAACCAAGTACATATTTTCTTTCGCTGCTGCTGCTGCTGATAACGATATTTTTTGATAATTTTTATTTTTTAAAAAACAAAAAAATTTTATTTAATAATCCATCCGGATATGTGAAAATCAAAAATAGGATTTTTGATGGAAGAAAAAATGAATGAATGGAAAAAAATATGTGATTAGGATAATTGGTAGAAACATGATAATCAATGATAATTATTTAAGATAATGGCTATTCTCTTGATTCAATATGATTGCCGATTGACGACAATCACAAAATAATTCATTAATTTCATCCAATATTTTGGTTGTTATCGTAGTGAAATAAACTTTAGCTAATTGTGAACAAGGTGATAATAATTGTAATGCATAACGTAATGTTTTCTGTGAACCAATCATAGCTAATTGTATAAGAGCTTCTTCATCAATATCTAATGATTCGATACGAACACGTATACGCAGAATCTGGAATTGGAAAAAAGTCAAATTGAATTAGTTAATCAGTTACGAAAAACAAACAAACAAAATTTACCTTAAGAATTTCTTCCCTTGTATATGGTACTGTTTTAATAATAATAGTACGATCAAGAAAATCTAATGGTATACCATGTGGTGAATAAATATCTTCACTGCCACGTATCAGGCAATTACCACGATTTGATGCCATTATAACTATTGGTGATATATTTGATTCCAGTGCTTTCGATAGGAATGTAAAACACTCCAAATCCAACATATGAACTTCATCGATAAACAATACTCCGGTTATTAATTCAGCTTGTCCAGTTTCAATTAATTTATCCACTTTTTTATTAATTTCATGTCGAAGTTTTTCAGTAATTTCCGTCTTTTTCTGTTTCATTAATTGACTCATCATTGATAGGACATCTTGACCACCTTGTGGATGTGCATTTGCTACATCCAAATCATTTAGGGTAATATCTTGAACAACAGCTTTACGTTTGAAAACATCACCTTTCGGTAGGGGAACATATTCATCAGCTTCCAAATCAAATTCAGTTGCATATGAATCAGAACGGCCAATACGTTTCAATGAACCACTATTAACTTCAATATAAATGACATCACCAATTTCAACTTTTTGTTTTTGTAATGATTCATAAATGCTTGGATCTAATTTTAATTGTTTTGTTCCTTTTGTTGCTTTCAACGTTAACAATAAATGATGAATTTGTTTACCATAACCACCTAATGGATTATCCATTTCAATTGGTTGAATTTCACAAACTTCACCTTCATAAACTTCTTTTGTTTCTTTAATTCTTAGGCCGATTGCACGGCGAAAATTTTCCATCAGAATTTCAGTTTTTTTCACTTCAGCTGAATAAACTTCACCAGCAACCATTGGACAGAATGGAATTTGATCACCAAGTTCTTGTGATATGGCTAATGCTAATGCAGTTTTACCGGTACCAGGTGGTCCAACAAACAGAATAGCTCGGCCGGCCATTTTTTTCATCTTGATCAATTCGACAACAACACCAGCAGCCTGAAAATCAATCAAAAAATCGATGGTTGTATCAATCAAAACAAAAACCAAAAATCTACAAACCTTTCGAGCTTGATGTTGACCAATCAAACCACATGAATCATTTGAAACATTACCTTCAGCATTCAAACCAAGACCTTTAATATGGCTATGTGTTGATATACGTTGTTGTTTATCATTGTTTTGTTTAATATTATCAACTTTGAACATTTTTTTCAATTTAAAAAATGAATTTTTTTTTCAAACAAAATTTTGAAATTTTTTCGCTCGTTTCAAAAAAGCGTGCCCAAATCGAACAAAAAAAAAACGCGAGGATTCATTCATAAACGACGATTTCCAATATTCGTTCGATTTATCGAATGTTTTGTTGTTTGGTGGCTGGTGAATGAATTGACAAGAAAAACATTTTATTCAATCTTGGATCCAAAACAACAAAGAAAAACCTTATAATGTCCATTACAGTGATATTACCGGATAATCATCGTTTACGTGTAAAATGTTCAATAAATGATTTACTTTCAGAGGTAAGTTGTTGACAAGATTTTCTTTGTTTTGTTTTTCTTCATCATCATAACATATACGTGATGTACGTGTATGACGCAATTGTAAAGTTTGATATAGCATGCCTTTATTATTCTCATATCAATGTCTTTCTCTGCAATGAGATATGTGTGTGTGTGTTATATTTCTTTTTTTTCGGGTTCGTTTATTGAATGTCAATTTGTGAATGGAATTTCATTAAATTCATATTTTTGACATTCCATAAATTCCAAGAGAAAAATTTTGTTTTTTGGGCCCCCTTTTCGTTTATTTGAAAATTTGTTGAATGACAACATAGGTCAACGAAAAATTATTATTATTTTTTCAATGAATTCAACGATAATGATTATGGAGCCAACGATGGTTACTAATCCTAATCCAAATACATTTGGTATTGAAGATGTTGTTGCTGTTAATCTTGAATGTTTTGGTCTTATTATACTTGGATATTTTGCCAGAAAATTTCACCTTATTGAACCGGGACAAACAGCCGGATTGAATGTATTTTTATCATATTATGCATTACCAGCATTGGTATTTTTAGCCATTTCAACAATATCGTTGACCGATGTTAATGGAACATTTGTTCAAGATATTTTCATATCGAAAACATTGATTTTTTTGGCTGTAGCTATTGTAACATTTATTTTATCATATAAATCAATGAATCTAACTGATGCTATTCGTCGTTCAGCAATGTTTGCAATGTTTACAACACAAAGTAATGATTTTGCACTTGGTTATCCAATTCTTCAATCATTATATGGTCAAACGAAAACATCATTCACCGATTATCTTTATATTTTGGCACCAATTCAATTACTTATACTAAATCCTATTGCATTATTTTCAATTGAAATTAGTCAAATTCTGGATGAACAACAACAACCATCATCATCAAACAATGATCGAAGATATCTAAAATATATTCATACTTTGAAACGAATTTTGAAAAGAATTTTCATCAATCCAATAATTTTATCAACAATATTGGGTATTATTGTCAATTTGATTACCGCGAATGAAATGCCAAAAGTTTTTATACCATTTTTGAAAAGTTTATCACAGTCATTTTCTCCAATTGCATTGTTTTTACTTGGTCTGAATATTAATATTGGTAATGGTGGTCATCAAAAACATCGTTCATTAAAATTATTTTCACAACCATTATTAATAACATTTATATTGGTCGCTATCAAATTGTTAATAATGCCATTATTGAATCGATCGATTGTACAACATGTTCCATTATTGTTTGGTCATTATCACCATCAACAAGTATTGAATGAAACATTTTCTGAATTTGCATTTCTTTATGGAACATTTCCAGCTGCACCAACCGTATATATTTTATCCAATATTTATAATATTGAAACATTAATAATTTCAGCCGGTTTAGTAATATCAACATTATTATCGGCACCTATAATTTTTGTTTCAACAAATATGATTAGATTTTCTAAACAAATTGATTATAATCAATTGAATAATGATTTGATGCAAACTATATTTGCAGCAAGTATTATTAGTTTGATTGGTTCATTATTATTATTATATAATTTTTATCTAACATTTCGTTTACGATCAATTATTCATCGTTGGTCATTTAAATTACTTATTGGTCATATAATGATTATTTTGGCTGGAATTTTATTTCGTTTCAATATTGTCCATAATGAAGATATGATGATGCCAATAACAACAACAACGACAATATCTGTCTTTCAATATTTTCTATTTCAAATTGGTTTTTTTATAATGAAATTATCATTAATATTTTTATCAATATTATTAGTTTTTCTTTATGCAAAAAGTTTATGTTTTGTAATCAAAATATCCAGAATGTTTACAATGATAATGTTAATTATTCTGCCCATTTTTATTGTTATGATAACTATTACTTTTGGTAAAACAAAAAATATTGCCGATCCTAATGATGGTTATCTAATTAATCTTTATTATGGAATTAATCGTGGCCATTTATTCCTGTCATGTATAATGTCATTTTTAACCATTTTAACAGCATTAATATCATTTATATTGATTCATCATTTTAAAAATATTGTTCAACATGAACGACAACAATTAATTGATGATAATAATGTTGTGGATAATGACACTATGGCTAATGTTGATGATCAATCAAATCCAATAATGATTCGACCACCACCTAGTAGATTGGCTAATCAACAACAACAACAATCATCATCATCGTTTGATGTTGAAGATTTATATCAGAATTTAGTTGGAACAAGTCGTACAAATCTTATGATAAACAATGATAATGATGATGATGATGATGATTTTTATAAAGAACGTTGTAATATGAATTGTCATTCACAATGTACAAATCATCAACAACAACAAACTTTGACACAAAATTCTTCAACAACGAAAAAAGATTGTACCGATTATTTAATCAAATATAAACAACAAATTGAAATGGCCATTGAAGCTAATGAACATGAACGAAATGATGATCATGATTCGTTGCCATTTTTTAGTGAATTTCATCAAATACAACAGCATTTATATTTAGTAATGTTATCATTATTAATAATTATTATACATTCAAGTATTGAAACAAGTCATTTGATTGCTGATAAACCAAATGGAATATTGATTGAAATGAAATTTTTAGATATTTTATTTGTATTTTTACATGGTTTTATAATGTTTATATTGTTTGGTTTGGATGCTGAAATTATTTTGACAAAATTTCATTCCATTTGTAAAATGGTTTTTGGTTCAAGTCAATCATTACAAGAAATTTATCTTCCACCAATGGAAAATCTTAATCGTGATGCAAAAGAATTTTGTCGCCGTTTTTGTCGTGATTATCGTGAACAATGTATCAAAGATATTACATTTCGTCTTTCAAATGGTCATAATAATACTGATGATAATGATTCAAGACAAAAATTATATTTCTGTGGTCGACAATTAGTTGATTGGTTAATGACAGAACGATTGGTTCAAGAACGTTCCGAAGCTATTGATCGTTGTCATCAACTTTTATATGGACGTGTTATTGAACACATTACTAGACATCATTATTTTTTCGATAATACCTATTATTATCATTTTATTTAACTTGTATTTTATTTTATTTAAAAATTTGTTTCCAAAAAATTAAAAAATTTTTATTTTCATTTCAAAAATAAATCGATTGGAAAAAAAGATTTTGGAAAAAGTCTGTACATCCAAAGGATTTGATTCGGGAAAATATTCTCTGCAGTAAGTAATCAATTCTGATATTTCTGACACCAAATTGATTTTGTTTTTTGTTTGAATTAGTCGTAATAATAAACCATTAGATCTTGGTCTTTCATTACGTTTGGCAAATGTTTCATTGAATAGTGAATTGTATTTGAAATTTGATCCGGAAAAATCTCAACAAAAAAATCTAACAATTTTAATACAATATTCGGATAAATTAAGAAAAATTGGTGAATTTCAACCCGATCAAACATTATGGCAAGTTATTCAAAAACTTTTTACCTGCGATGATATTCCTGAATTGAATGATTGTGATCAATATATATTTTCAATTAATTGTATGAATAAACAGGTAATATGTTTTGATTGATTTTTCTCACTGAATTTACCTTGATTTACCTTGATTTTTTTTCTTAGTTTGATGGTCGTACTGTTTTGGAACAAACCCGTTTAAAAACATTAGGTCTTCAAGGACGAGTTAGTTTACGTTTGAATTGTCGACCAGCTAGTGATGTTCAACCTAGACAAAAATTTGTTGAAAATATTCAATTTAAAAAAATTGATAAAGAAGAAGATATTGTTAAAGTTGTTGCTGTTGATGATGTGAAATTACCACCACAACAACATTCTTTGCCGCTATCTAATGAACAACCGAAAACGACAGACGAAGAAGACAAAAAGTCAATTCCGGATCCAATTATACCTGTAGAATCCAGTAAAAAACATAAGCTTAACGAATTGGAAAAGGAAAAAGAAAATCCAATAGCATCACCAACGATTGATAATAAAAAATTGGAAATCAATTTTTTGCCAAATGGTGAAAACGATGAACTACTTTATTCATTGGATGAACAAATTGATTTTGTTGAAGAAGATTTACCGCCAGAATTTTTTGAACATACTGCCAGTGATCTAAAACATTTATTGGCCGAATTACGACGACAACGATCAAATGATGATCAAGCATTGGAAACAAAACAATTACGCGCAAATCGTGAACAACAAAAACGTCAACAATTCAAACAGACAATTTTACGAATCATTTTTCCATATGATCGATTGGTTATGCAAGCTATTTTCAAACCAAATGATTCTATTGAATTGATAGCCAAAGTAATTGATAAATATATTCATCATCATTCGAATATTAATTTATTTGTTGCACCACCTAAAACAATATTGGATCGACAATCAAATTTATTTGATTTAAAATTAGTTCCATGTGGTATTATCTATTGTACACCTTTGAATGATAAACAACCATTGATTCGTGATGAATTTCGAAATTGTTTGACAACATTCTCGAATGTAGTCATTCATGCTTTGAATAAAATGAAAAAAGATTTAAAATAAATAAATTAATTCATGAATTTTGCAAAACATTTTTGAAAATGAATGAATGAATTCAAAAAAGATCGATTGTTTCAGTATCGATAGTATCGGCGAATCGATAGCTGCAAGCGTGTATACACTGTTTGCTTTGCTTTTCAATGCATGCATGCATGTATATTGAAAGCAAGCACACAGCTCTTCCGCTTACATCGTGTTCTTTCTTTTTTGCCGTGTGTGTCTGTGTGAGCTTTTTGTATTTTTTCAATTTTTTGTCCAATTTTTTTCGTTTCTTTCATTGAATTTTTTGTTTTTTTGGACAATGGCTGTTGGAAAGAATAAAGGTCTTGCTAAAGGTGGTAAAAAAGGTGTCAAAAAGAAGATTGTCGATCCATTTACCCGTAAAGAATGGTATGATATTAAAGCTCCGGTTGTTTTTGCCAATCGTAATGTCGGTAAAACCTTGGTTAATCGAACACAAGGAACCCGTATTGCTTCTGAAGGTTTAAAAGGTAAACTGATTCTTTTTTGAGTTTTTGTTAGCAAACAATAAAATTTCAATTCAATTTTATTTAAGGACGTGTATTTGAAATATCATTGGCCGATTTACAAAATGATGAAGTTGCCTACAAAAAATTCCGTTTGGTTTCCGAAGAGGTACAAGGTCGTCAAGTTTTGACCAATTTTCATGGTATGGATTTGACAAGAGATAAATTACGTTCGATGGTAAAAAAATGGCAAACATTGATCGAAACACATGTCGATTGTCGTACAAGCGATGGTTATTTGTTACGATTTTTTTGTATCGGTTTTACACGTCGTTGGCCACATCAGGTGAAAAAAACTAGCTATGCTCAAACAACAAAAGTACGTGCCATTCGTAAAAAAATGGTTGAAATCATCACGAATAATGTATCATCGGTCGATTTGAAAGATGTTGTATTGAAATTGATTCCTGATTCGATTGCCAAAGATATTGAAAAGGCATGCAATTCAATCTATCCATTGCATGATGTTATGATTCGAAAAGTAAAAGTAATGAAAAAACCGAAATTTGAATTAAGCAAATTGATGGAAATGCATGGTGAAGGTAAAGGTTCATCAAGTACAACAGCTGCAGCAGCAACAAAAACCGATGGTGAATCATCCGTTAAAGTTGATCGACCAGAAGGTTATGAACCACCCGTACAACAAACGGTTTAAATAATTTAAAAATTTTTTTCTAAAAAAATGTATTTCAAAATTTGAAACAAATAAAAAATGATTTTTTATTTTGAAAAATAATTACAATGAATGAATTTTTGTGTTGTTTTGTTTTTTTGTTTGAAAATCATCAAATCAATTCCAAAGATGACATTGTTCAGCAGCCTCAATTACATTATTCGATTTCAATTGATCATTCGAACATTCGAACACATTATGGAATTTAGAAAATTGACTAAATAAAACATTAACCCGTATAGATTCGGGTAATGGTTCGGTAATTGATGTTGATCCACAATGATGATTATCATCATCATAAAGTGTTTGCATTGTTTTTGGCTTTATGTTTGCACATAATGTCTATGGATGGATATAAAAAGAATGTGTGTGAGAAAGGAATCAATATTAAAATAATGGATAATTTACCTGTGCAAATGAAATGAAAAATAATTGATCATTATTGTATGGCAATGATGGTAATAATGGTGATTTTTCTATTCGTTCAGATTCCTGTTGTTGATATGCTAACCAAGCCATTTTCAGCGCACCCAAATCAATATATGTTTGTGAAACAGATGTATTGAACTATTGTGTGTGTGTGTTGAACAAAAATCATTAACATTATTTAATTGAGTGAAATCAAATGATTACCTGATGATTTGATATGGAATTTATCTGTCGAGAAAGACAACGTAAACCACGATTAAGATCAACATCTTCGATAAATTTTCGATTATTTGACAGACGACCATCAGGAAGATTATAATAAAGACCAATCAAATCGAATGCTTTTAACATATGACTGGCTAGATGAAATCCTAATGAACCAAATTGAATGGCTATTGGTGAATGTTGATCATAATAAGGTAATTGTAAAATAGCAGCCGGTACAAATAATTTATTCGATGCATAATCATAATGTAAGTGCAAATCATATGCAACCAATGGCCATGAATGATCGAAATTTTTTTGACTTAATAACATTTCCATTTTTTTATGACGAAAATTTATACCTTCAATAATATTATGTAGAAATTTGATACTTGTAAAAAATTCCGAATAATAACCACCAAGATTTGGTTTCAGTAAAAATTGTGGATAACCAATTAGGATTTCCATTTGTTTTAATTTCATATTGATAAATTTCCTAGATCCTTCCATACCATCATCTTCATTTGTTGGATCATACCAGATGAATGAACGATAATTATCCAATAAAGTACGTTGCAATTGATTTACAATATTCGATCTTACTTCTTGCGTATGATTCATAATCGTTTTCAATTGATTTTCAACATAAAGTGCTGATAATGAATGTCCAAGATATTTATTGGTTGTTTCCAAACAAAATCGCCATCGATCTTTATCATCAATATAATTTATTGATGGTAAATTTAGATATGCTTGTTGAAAATTATAATGAATAATACGAAATTCTTTTGATAAATATGGTGCATATGAACTGATCAGTTTCCATATTAGATAATCATTCAAACCTTTACTATCGGTTGTTGAAATAATATTTGAAATATTACGAAAATATGAATCAAATGCAAGCATAACACGTGTATTTTCATTCAATCTTGCTTTTTCAAAATATTTTTGCAATAAATTCAGCCATTTGATTGATGGTGCAATAATTTTCAATTCACGAATTGAAAATCTTCGTTGAAACATTTCCGCTGGATGACTATAATCCAAGCGGTCGGGCATTATTTCGGCAATACGTTTTTCATAATTAAATGTATTTTCGGCAAATTGACTTGAATCTAATTTAGTTGCACTGAATATTTTTACCGTTTCACTCATATATTGTTTATATGCTTCAACAATCTGTCTATATTCAGGATCAAAATAATAATTCCGTGGCAAACCTAAACCAGATGGATATATCTTTTGTGCGGGGAAAATCAAGAAAACCGTAAGCTTCGAAAATTATTATCAAAAACAAACATACCTTAATAATGAATGGTAATTGTGGATCCAAATCATCAGCACCAACTGTTATACGGAAAAAAGCATCAACATCGTAATAGGTTTGTAATTTTTCCAATGTACGATCAGAATGCCAACTAGGTCCATGCCAATTACCAATAATATTCCAACCACCTGAATCAATAATTTCATGTTTAATATAATCCAATGAATTTCGATCAATTTCTTCCAGGTTCATACATGATTCATAGAAAAATTTTGTCTTATAAAATGGATCATCATGTGGTATAGTCAATAGGATACGATCTAAATAATGTTTAAGATTACGATAAATTCGATCTTGAATTTCATCATTTATAGAATATTTCCCCGAATATTCATCTAATGGATGATCCTTGATCCATTGACCACATGCAAATTCATAAAAATTATCGCATGGTTTATGTTTTTTGTCGTTGTTGTTCGAGGTTAATGGTGGTGAAATTTTCGCTGCAATACGTGCAGCCGTATAAAGACAATCAGATGAATCACAAATCGGTTGTTCATATGCAAATGTAACCAATAAAACTTTGATACCGATTATTAATAATGTTAGACCAAGAATAAATATAATTAGTAGAAGAAATGCCTGAATTCTATGTTGACGATTATTTAATATTTTTGATAAATTTGCTTGTAATCGATTATTAGTGGTTGATATTATCGTTGAATTTTTACGTTGTTTTTGTTGTTGATTATTACCACCACCATTATCATCAAATTCCATTTTAATTTTTTTATCTTTTAAATCATCATGATTATCATCATAATCCATATCGGTTTCATTATAATGATCACCATCGAATGTTAATGAATCATGTTCTTGTGGTTGATTTTGTTGATAATCAATGCTATCGTTGTCGTCGTCGTCGTCGTAGCCACCGGTACGATGATGACCATTTATTGGCCTCTTTATTGTTGTTTCCATTCAAAAACCATTCAAACGTTATGAATGCTTTAACGGCGTAGTTGTATAACGGCGGTATACGTAAATGAAAAAAAAAGAAAACTAAACGAAAAAGAGAAAAAAAGTGTTAGAGTTAATAATATCAGCCAGATTGACAAATAGGTAACCTGTTTAGTCGTTGTTTTGGTTGTTGTCAAAGAAAGTTATTCGAAGACCACCATTCAATCAATTTCGGTCACCAAGTAAAAAAAAAACAACAACAGTTATTTGAAAGAAAAAATGACAAAAAAAATAATAATATCTTCATTGATAATCGAATGAAAATGATGGAAAAAATTCGAACGAATAAAAAACATCAAAACAAAACAAACAAAGATATCACCATTGGAAACTTGTCGTTGTTGTTGTTGTTTTCAAAAAACAAAATTTCATTTGAAAATTTTCATTCATTCGAATGTTGTTGACAATCAAAATGGATGGATGGATAATGTTGGTTGGGTAATAGGGGAGGTATATAAAGCAGGTTGAGCCTTCGTTTTCAGGTATCTAAATTGCTCAACGGTTAAAGTATACTGCTTCTACTACTATACCTGTTGAAAATCAAGGTGTATCGTTTTGTCAACACACTTAACCATTCAACAGGTAACCAACACATAACACACACCTTGTTCTTATTAAGTGTGTGTGTTCGGGATACCAATCTTTCAGGTAAAGCATAGGTAGCCCGGACAATAATTTAGTTAAGACAATTTCTTTTTTTCTTTTTTCAAATGAAATTATTATTTTTCCTTTAAATGTGACTAACCTTTGTTTTGTTTTTCTGGTTTTTAATGATGGAAATTCACGAAAACCACCAAAAAACAAAAATCTAATTGTTGTTGATGATGTGTAATGGTCACAATTGAATGACAGTTTTTCTCGCACAGCACCCAAAACAGAAAAATACATACAGATTACGTAGATAGTTCCGGTATGCTTATGGTTTCGTTTCGCTTCGTTCGAATATTTTCCTTTCCTGTTTGTTGTGGTATTTTCCAATGAAATCAACACACCAATCTGCGTCTGTTCAAAATTTTTCGTTGTCAAGTTTTTTTTCGTTTTTCGTTGATCTGCGATCGATGATCGTTTGATGATGATCTTTATCCAATGATTTCCCACCCATCATCATCATCATCATTATTATCACTATTACAGTTTATGTACGATCATCCTCACTCATCACAAAACGAATGATAATCATCTTGGATACCAAAAAGATTTTTTATTATTATTTTGGTTTAGTTTGGTTGACAACGATGACAACATTAAACAAAACAAAACAAACAGCAAAAACTTGATAACCAATCATCAAGTGGTTGGTCGGTTGATTAACCACAAAAAAGATCATTGTCATAGAAATTTTCTTTTCTTTGTTAATTTTCATTTAATTAATAATTTTTCTTCTAGATTTCAAAAATAATTATTATCATCAAATTATTAACATCATCATCATCATCANTTTTTCAAATGAAATTATTATTCTTCCTTTAAATGTGACTAACCTTTGTTTTGTTTTTCTGGTTTTTAATGATGGAAATTCATGAAAACCCAAAAAACAAAAATCTGATTGTTGTTGTTGATGATGTGTAATGGTCACAATTGAATGACAGTTTTTTTTTCTCGCACAGCACCCAAAACAGAAAAATACATACAGATTACGTAGACGTAGATAGTTCCGGTATGCTTATGGTTTCGTTTCGCTTCGTTCGAATATTTCTCTTTTCCTGTTTGTTGTGGTATTTTCCAATGAAATCAACACCAATCTGCGTCTGTTCAAATCGAACACCAAAAAATTTTCGTTGTCAAGTTTTTCGTTTCGTTTTTCGTTGATCTGCGTTTGATGATCGTTTTTGATTGTTTGTTTTGACGATGATGATGATGATCTTTATCCAATGATTTCCCACCCATCATCATCATCATTAACACTCATCACACTAAACGAATGATAATCATCTTGGATACCAAAAAGATTTTTATTTATTGGTTTGGTTGGCAACGATGACAACAACAAACAAAACAGCCAAAAAAAACTTGATAACAATCATCAAGTGGTTGGTCGGTTGATTAACCACAAAAAAGATCATTGTCATAGAAATTTTCTTTGTTAATTTTTATTTAATTAATAATTTTTATTCTATATTTCAAAAATAATTATCATCAAATTATTAACATCATCATCATCATCAAATATCAAATCACAACAAACAAACAAACAAAAATATTCACTATACAAAATTGAAAATAAATAAAAAAAATTGATAAACAAGATCAAGATGATAACATCAAAGATTCATTCCATCCAAATTCGAATCATTTTTCCTGATTTAATGCGGCAATAAATTCTTCAAGTTTTTCCTGTATCCTTCGAACTCGTTCTGTTCATATAATACGTAACCGGATAAGAATAAAAATTATTAGCATTTTTGATGGAAAAAAAACTTACTCAATTCTTCGGCCAATTCAACACGTTTACCAACAAGCAACGTAGATTTTTGTTGATAATCTTGATTAAAATCATCAAGAATTTCTTTTAATTCACGATTTAAACGTTGAATTTCAATATTTGTTGTTTGTTGTCGTAATGCACGAGATGATGCTTGTAATATATGTCGTATACGATAGAAAAATACAACATCATCACAGGAAATCTTTCAAAAATTCAATGAAAAAAGATTCAATTTTCAAATTGAAAACAAAAAAATTGAAGAAAAAAAATACTTACATCCGAATCTAATTTATACATATGATGTGCATATAATTTTTCACAATTTTCTGCTTTTGACATTAATTTATTGAGGAAATAATGTTTAAATAATTCTGACCAAATTGTTTGAATCTGTTTTTTACAAAACAAGAAAAATCAAAATCAATCAAATATGATGAATTCAAAGATCAAAACACTTACATCATCATCGGTAACTTCAATTTTATTCGAACGTAAACGTTTTTTAACCATTAAAATATCTTCAGCATCTAAAACTGGTTTTAAACCCTTTTGTTTGGATTTCGAAAAAGATTACTTAATTTGAATTTAATTAACGAAAAAAAACAACTTACATTTTGATTTTGATTCTGACTATTTGCAATCAATAAATCCAATTCATTTTTAATATTGACATTAATCAATTGATCATCTGAACGATATGACCATTGTAGCCATCTTTGTAGCCAATTTGGTCCAAACAATTCATTCAAACGATTTTCCGTCGAAACAATACGATCATTAATTAATTCTTGCCAATATTTTGCCGATTCTTTCCATTTTTCTTTCGAAGAAACAATACGATCTTCCGATGAATTCATTTGTAATAATTTTATAACATCTGTTGCTTTTGAATCCCAACGATGATTTTGCAGAACGGCTTCAGCAACGGCCATTTTTAATCTCAAAAATAATTGATCATCATTTTCATCATAATTCTGGTGGTAATTTTGCTGGTGATTATTTTGCTGTTGATGATGATCACATGATTTACGATTTGGTATCAAAGTCCGTTCAAATTGTTCACGTAATACTTGCCAACCAGTTTCCACAGTCTTCCCAGGTAATTCATTATCAATCCAATTTTTCAGTTTTATATCAATTAAAACATTAAAATTTTCTAAATCAGATTTTTCAGCACAAGGCAGATAAATATCTTCAAATATAAATTTTTTAAAATTTTCATTTAAATGTTGAAAAAATTTAGTTTCCCAATATAATTCATTCAAATGACTTAGTTTGATTATTTGATCCAATATTTGATTTTTACCAATTTCAAATAATTCATCACGATCTAATTCACGATATTTACTAAACAAATTTTTCCATTCAGTTTCCAGATTAAATTTTCTGGCTTTATAAAGATCAGCTTGTTGTTCAACAGCCGATTTTACCATTTTCCAAAAACAATCCGATACAGCAAAACTTAAATTTTGTGTTGTACATTGTGATGCATTCAAAATGCCTTGTTGACAAAGCCGAGAATCTTTGAAAAATTTTTCTTCATATTCTTTTATCGAATCGATTGAATCATCTTTACCACCACGACCAGTAACAACGGCAAAATAACCCAAAGCTTTCATTGGGAACAATTTTCCTTCAAGAATTTTTTTCAAACGTGTTGGATTTGACATATTCTGTTCGGCCAGATCGATTTTTGTCATAACAAAAATTGTTCGCCGTCCTTGTGGATCCATTTGTGAAACCAAATCCGTTACGATTGAACGTTCAGCATCAACCGATCCATCTTGAACACATAGAATTATGGCATTAGGATTTCCCATATAATATTTGGTTATTTCTTCGATTGCTTGCCTGGTATCGGTAGCCATTTCTGTTGTTACCGTACTAATTACACCAGGTAAATCGATTAAAACCATCCGTGGAAGACCAGGACCTTCAACTGTTAACGAAATAACATCTTTACTAACAGTTTGTCCGGGTTTTACTCGTGCTTTCATTCGTCGTTCAATAGCCGAACGTAATTCAGCCAATTCTGATTCCCTAGTCAGATCATATTCACGATCTTGATCTTTAAATTTAGCAATATGATATGGTCCTTCTTTCAATGTAACTTTAACCGGTGAACGGGTCATCATTTCACCTGCACCACGTGGAAATATTCGTGCATGTGCAATCATTTCCAAAACCGATGTTTTCCCGGCACTTTGATCACCAACAACAATAACCCTTGGTAGATGATCTTGTGTTTGATAATTTGAATCAAATTCATTCAATTCATCCAATACATCCGAATAAAGATCGATTAAAGTTTTATTGGCTTTTTTTAGCTTTTCCGATACATGTGATTTATCCGTTCGTAGTAATAATGATTGTTTCAGACGTTTATTTTCATTTTCAAGACGTTCAATTTCTTTTTGATATTTATTCTGTTTGAGGAGAAACATTCGAAAATCACAAAAACATTCGAAAATCAAAAAAACATTCGAAACTTACCTGTATTCGAATCAATTCATTTTGTAATTTATCGATTCGTTCTCTTTCACCACCACCAGCAATACCTGCACCAGGTGATGGTTGATCTTTTGCAAATGGATTTTTCAGATGTTGTACATTCGAATCGAGCAATATCGAATTATCATCACTATCATTATCGTTGTCGGTCGAATCATCAGACCAAGAATTACCGTTATTATAAATGGATGATTTTGGCGATGACGTTGACGATGAATCATTTTCTGATGATAGAAACAAAAGTTCTAGAATGAGAAATGAATGTTTTTTGTGATTGTCAAATCAATTTTGATGACTATTTTGCTAATAATGAATTTTTTTCAACACTAACCTTGTTGTTGTCTTTGTTGACGTTCACGAATCATTTCACGAAATTGTCGTATGGTTGCTTCAGTATTTTCGGATAAACGATCAAAAAATCCATTTTCAGTTACTAATTTTTGTTTTAAATCTAATAATGTATCTTTTAGTTGATTTTGTTTAGCTTGATCCGGCATAAAATCTTTAATCCAACCAGTAAAATCGGGTAAATTTTCTTTCCATTGTTGATATTTCTAAAAAGATTTAAAAAAGATAGATTTTTTTAGAAAAAAAATTGATTCGAAAAATCCAAAAAAAACAAACATTATTAGCATGTATACCACCACCAACAGCTGAACCAAGAATTATATAACGAATTTTTAGAACCGATCGTATAACACCAACTAACGATACGAATGAACGTCGATGTTGAATCAATTGATTATTCGATGGCAATGATAATAACGGTGGTAGATGACCACGATAACGATGACCACCACGACGACCTGCAATCTGACGAGCAATATGCAATGATCTTTTTGGAATCATCATTATCATCGTATTATCGAATATTCTTCAAGCGTTTTTCTTCGGAAAAAAAATCAAAATATTCACAACATGCAATCAAAAAAAACTTTTTTTTTTGGTAAAAACCGTTGAACAAACAAACACAGAAAATCAATTCATATCATTCCATTTCATTACATTCGATAATTCTTATTATTTATTAAACAAAAATAAATTACAAAACCGAAAAACGAAAAAAAATCGAGAAAATTTCATCAGTCAAAAAAAAATTATTCGGATTTTACATCTGGACTAAATGTGTGTGTGTGTTTGTCCTGTATATTCGATTCGAATTGATTTGAACGCCATCTTTTGTTAAAATTTTTCAATTCGAATTACCGGTTTGTTCGATTGATGGTAAACACAGGGAAAAGTTTTTTTGTTTGTTTGTTTGCGTTCGGTTTTTTCACCCCGAAATCCAAAATCCAACGATTCATTTGCGAATGATGATTTACCTCGGTTATTGCCATCATAAATTTTGTTGGATCAAATCAATAGTTGGTCGTCGATCATTTCGATGTTGATAGATTGACCGGGTGATGGTTGTTGGGTAAGTTTTTCAAAATCGATTAATTAATGAAAACAAAAATGTTCAAATTAACCCGTTTAAATGTTTGTAAATAGGAAAAAAACTGTATGGATGTTTGTACTTAAGTGGAAAAAGACAAACAAATGAAAAAAAACAAAACTCTCCGCAATTCCTTAATCAATGTAATTCGATACGATTAAATCAAATCATATCACACACAACTGCGTGATTGAAACTTGATCATAATCATAATCATTATCAATTTCTTTTTCTTCATTTCATCAAGCTGATTCATTTGATGGTTAGTCTATAATCCATTGCTTAAATAATCGTCAAGAAACAAACAAACAAAAAGTTTTCATTTTTTTGCATTCGAATGTTTTTGTGCAATTCGAATGTTTTTTTCTTGCCTGCCACTCTTTCATACAGTGTTTTTTTTTTTGGTTTGGTTGATTGGTGGCTGTATATCATCATCAACAACAGTAATAATCAAATACCCAGCCATAAATATCAATTTTGTCCATCATCAATTTGTCGAACAATACAAAGACCGATGATAAGAATGTCTTTTTGATGGTTGAAAAAAAGAAAACGAAAAACAGCTAGTCACATAAATATTATCATATCGTTTTCGTTTCATTTCAGTTTTTGCAAGAAAAAAACCAAAATTATTATTTTGTTTAAAGCTTATAAGCGGTCATTTGACTTTTTATAAAATCAAAAATCAACGACTAGCAGTTCAACATTCAGCAACAACACCCTTTGTTATTTATATTTTTTCATAGGGTTCAATTAATCAATTATCCTCAATTAGCCATGATTATTGCATTATGATATCATCATTATTGACAAAATTCATCATCATCATCATCTGATTTTCGATAATTCTCTGTTCGTTTTTTTTTCTTCTATTCATTTCGGAAATTCGGTGGAGAGAATTTAAAGATTGTTTTTTATTCAACAAAAATTCCCCAAAAATGGCTTTCAAATGGTCTTTGTTTTTGTTCCTATCCACGACCATTTTATTTATGATCATTATTGTCAATCAACATTCAGTTTTTGGTCAATCAACTACCACCACCAAAACAACAACAACAATTTCCATAATAAATCAACAGCCACAATCATTAGATAAATTATCATCTAACAGTTATACATTATCATCAATGGATGATGTTGAAATGTTAACCTATTTTCTTCTTTATAGATATGGTTATTTTAATCATACTTCTGATCATCATCATCATCATCATGGTAAGTAATTTGTGATTTTTTATTTTGAAATTTTTAAAAAATTCATAATTTAATAATAGATGATAATCAAAATGATGAAGATATTTTAACTGAATCAAAATTACGTGAATTTATTGAAAAAATTAAAATTAATCAATTAGTACCGAATAAACGTTATGAACAATCATCATCATCATCGACATTAACATCGGCGGCTATTGATCCGAAAACCAAAATGTGTTCGAAATTTATGTTGGAAAATTTATTAAAATCAAAACGATGGGGGCCATCTAACGGCAGTAGCATCAATAGTAATAATGGTGTTTCATTAATAAATTCAAAAATAAATCTTATCTGTGAAGCAGCAAATAGTTGTAAAAATGCTAAAAATCTTGTCGATCTAGTCGGTTTGAATTCAATACGAACACCAACATTAAGTCAATCAATTGCACGTCTTTGTCCATTAATGCTGTTTCAAATGCAAGAAAAAGAATGTGTCGATCAACAGGAAAGTCAATTTAAAGCTAAAAATAAACCAACAATGAGTTCTGTTTGGGGATTTGGTTTATTATTCGTAACGATTGTTAGTTTTTGTTCAATTGCCGGTGTTGGAATATTACCATTTTTGAATGAATATTCATATCAAATAATGATTACAATATTGGAAGGATTAGCTGTTGGTAGTTTAGTTGGTTCGGCATTATTTCATTTAATACCACAAGCATTTAATTTAATGATACCGGGTAATCATGAATATTTATGGCGTGCTTTAATCATATTCGGTGGTATTTATATGTTTTTCTGGTCTGAACGTTTAATGAAAATTGTTTCAGAATTTCGTCGACGAAAAAAATCAAAAGATTTTTCATTACCATCAACAACAAGTTTGGAAAATGATCCACAAAAATTAAGGTAAATTTTCTTTTTAAAAAATGATTGAAATTTTGAATTCTAACCTTGAATTATCATTTAGACAAGTTCATTATAATAATCAAATTCATTGTGATGATCAACAACAATGTGGTGGTGATGAACAACAAAATCATCATCATCAAAAATCGATGGTAACTATTGTTAATAATCATCATCCTCATCATTATAATCATCATCATGGTAGCAATAATCATATTCATGATAATAATGATGATGATGATGGTTGCCGTGATCGTACCAATTCAAAAATGTTATCAATGAAACATGATCATAATATTGCTAATCATCATCATTCACATTTACATCCAATCGGTGGTAATGAAACTGATGAAATTGCTACAATTGCATGGATGATTATATTTGGTGATGGTCTTCATAATTTTATCGATGGTGTTACAATGGGTGCTGCATTTTCACAAAGTATTCTGGAAGGTATAAGCATATCGGTTGCTGTTATTTGTGAAGAATTTCCACATGAATTGGGTGATTTTGCTATACTATTGGGTTCAGGAATGTCAATGCGTAAGGCGCTTGGTTATAATTTTCTTTCAGCTTGTACATGTTATTTAGGTTTTGCTTTTGGTATATTAATTGGTGATTTATCTGATGCAACACCATATGTATTTGCATTAGCTGCCGGTATGTTCTTGTATATATCATTAGTGGATATGATGGGTGAATTATCAAATAAATTGGAACAAGCTGGTAAACGTGGCCTTTCACATACATTACAAATGTTATTATTACAAAATTTAGGCATTATAATTGGTGTTAGCATTATGTTTATATTGGCTAAATATAGTGATCGTATCAATTTTGAAGGATTGGTACCACCGAAAAATTCCGATATACCATTTACGGAATCATAGTAGATTCGGTGGAACAATAAAACACACAACAAAAACAATACTCTCATATCAATGATGAGCCAACATCACACACAACGCATTTTTTTTAAATATTTCTTCGAATATTTTATTTAAATTTTTTTTTAATTATATAAAAAATATCATTTACATTCATGTAATGAATAATCAATATTAATAAGTGCCACTTTTTTGCAATTTTAAAAATAATAAACAATTTTTTACAAAATCAAATACGCGAATCATTTTAAATTTCCCTCCACTAATTTAGTGTGATGATGACAACTAAATTGACTAAACCTGATCTAAATTTGTTGAAATAGTTGCTTGAATAGGTGCCCTTGTTGTTTTTCAATTCTTTGTTTTTTTTCGGGATTCGATTCGAACTGAAACTGATCCAAACTCAAATTTTGTAATCATGTTACAAATCGGTAAGTGTTAAAACAATCCTATCCTAATTCGATTAAATCTTTTTTATCCTCATTAATTAATTGTATAGCATCATCAATTGGCAGTAAAAGCCATCGATTTTTGGATCAAACATTATTAAAAACATTTACATTACGATCAAATTGTTTATTACAATTGGATAAAAATAATATTCATGAATCGAAAATTGTAAATTCGAATAAACAGGAAAATGCTGTTGAAACTCAATCACAGCAACAACAAGAATCAGCTGTTGCGACAAGAAAACGTTATTCACCATTTGTTAATACATCGAATTCAGCCGAATATGTATTGGCCAGAGCTGATGATCTGCTGAATTGGGGTCGTAAAAATTCATTATGGCCATTAACATTCGGTTTGGCTTGTTGTGCTGTTGAAATGATGCATATTGCTGCTCCACGTTATGATATGGATCGTTTTGGTGTTGTATTTCGTGCATCACCACGACAAGCTGATGTTATATTGGTGGCCGGAACATTAACAAATAAAATGGCGCCGGCTATCCGTCGTATTTACGATCAAATGCTCGAACCAAAATGGGTAATATCGATGGGTAGCTGTGCAAATGGTGGTGGTTATTATCATTATTCATATTCAGTTGTACGTGGTTGTGATCGTATTATACCGGTCGATATTTATGTACCTGGTTGTCCACCAACAGCTGAAGCATTATTTTATGGAATATTACAATTACAGAAAAAAATTAAACGTCAAAGTTTTGCACAAATGTGGTATCGTAAATAAATTTTGAAGAAAAATCCTCATTCAAAGAAAATTAACCCGAAATTATTATAGTTGAAAAGTTGAAAACCATAAGTTTTTTTTTCTCATTTTCTCATTTCATTTATGGAATTTAAATTTTTTTTTTTCAATTATTATTATTATTATTATTATTATTATTATGAAGACAGAAAAATATAAAGTGAAGAAGAAGAAGAAGAAGAAAATGAAAATGAATCCAATCAATCAATCAGGTAATTCATCATTAAATCTGTATTCTGTGTGTGTGTGTATGGAGATATTGATTTGGTAAGAAAAAAAATCTAAGAAAAGAAAAGAAAAATCAATAAGTTTGTAAATATAATAGCATGTAGGTGTTTCTTTGAAAATATTTTAGGATGGCGGACATCATTAATGTTCATTAACACCATTATTATCATCACAAACCATGTCAGGTGTGTGTGTTAAATTAATAAAATGAAAATTTTTTGTGTTGTTGTTTTACCGTTATGCAAATTATTTAGGATGCACAAAAAAAAATTGATGGCTAATAATAAAAAAAAATCTCAGGTGAATGATACACAGACACACACAGATAGGTCAGGTCATCATCAAAAATTTGCCGGATTCTTCTTCTTGGTTGTTTTTCGTTTCTTGTTATTTGGATTTTTGAAAGTTTTTTTTTTGGAGATAAAGGGGTTAATAATATGACATCGGAATTGCAGATTGCGGAAACCAACCACACAACAAAAATCAATTCCAGTTGAATTTACCATAAGTAGCAACTGGATTTGAATTCATTTGTTTTTGTTGTTGTGTTAATGATCGTTGTTGTTGTTGTTGTTGATTACCGACAATATTTCCAGTTCCAGTTTGTTGTTGTTGTGTGATTGGATCAAATGAATGATGCATTGCCTGTTGTTGTTGTTGATGATGTTGAGGTAACATTGCATAAGCATTATTTGCATATGATGATTGATGATGTAAACTATTCATCGGTTGCTGTTGTTGTTGATTGGCTGTTATGGCCGATGTTTGATTTTGGAATCCTTGTTTTTCATAGCTCTAGAAACAAGAAAAAAATCAAACAAAAAAAAAAGAAAAGAGAAAAAGAAAAAAATCAATCAAATATTATCAAAATCAAATCATAAAAATAATTAATTTCTGAGTGACAAAAATTTATTAAACTCAATCAATATGGGTTGTGTGTGTGTGTGTAACATTGTAAATAATTTTTTTTTTTGCAATCAAATTCCAGAAAAGAATCTTTGTATATCTCTGTGTGTTTCGATCTGAGAATGGGTATATGAAGTGGGGGGTTGTTTCGATAGATGCAAATCATCATCATCATCATATCGAATCACTAAAATCCTAAAAATTTTCGTTTTACAAATAACGACGACGATTAGGTGGTGGCCATACTTTGTTCATTTGTGGATGTTGTTGTTTACTGTACATATTTGATGCCGTGGATGAAAGATCATTTCCATTGCCACCACTTTGTCCACCGCCACCAACACCACTACCGCCAACTGATGTCATTTGTTTATGTTGTTGTTGTTGTTGATACGGTTTATTCGATGTCGTCATATAATCAGCTTGTGTTGGAACACCACCAGCAGCTGCTGCGGCAGCAGCGGCTGCTACTGCAGCAGCATTACTTATCGAATCATATCCGGCCGAATTATATGAATGAGATCCATAATTAGCAGCGGCGGTATTTGTATTAGCTTTACCGGTAAATGGTGAATTAGCAGCTGCTGCAGCAACAGCTGCAGGATTCTGTGCCTGTTGTACCGGATATAGTGCCGCCGGATGTGATGGTGGATACATTGGTCCTTGAGCATAGCTAAAATATAAACCATAACCCGGAAAATATGGATTGTGCGCTTGTGTAGCCGCTGCTGCTGTTGCATTCGCTGCTTGTGATGATACAGGCATCATATCTGATTCCGAATTACGATTATATTTAACATCTATATTTATCAAAAAAAATGAATAGAATTAAAATCAATTTCAACAAAAAATCTAATTAAACATACCTGCAGCTGTAGCATATGGTGAATAAGTAGTATGATCACGTGCTGCAGTTGCACCAAACTGTAAATCTGCATATGGATAATATGCCGGTATTGTCATCGCTGGATTACTCATCGCAATAAATGGTGTACTTAACACCTGTGGCTGTTGTTGTTGCTGCTGCTGTTGCACAGCTGAATTTGCCACACCTGGAGGCACATTATGAATTCCTTTACCTGATGAATCAAAAAAAAAAACATCAGTAAAAAACAACAAATTAAAATATATAAAACATACTTGATGATAATGTATTTTTAATAACATTCGTTGTCGATGTTGAACTGGACATTAAACTTAATGATGATCCAGCCGCTGCATTTGAATCATATTTATTTGTTGAACTAATTACAGGCTGTACAGTATTATTACCACCACCAACATTATCCATATCACGAAGAACTTTTTGGTTTTGTTGTACGGAACCAACACCAGTAGTGGATGATGTTGATGATTGATTACCACCACCATATTGAACATAACTACCGGTATTTGTCATCAATGTTTGCTGTTGTTGTTGATTAGCTAAATGATTACCACCACCACCAACACCAAATCCTAAATGATTATATCCACCACCAATATTACCACCATATTGATGTGTTGTCATTGATGATTGTGGCTGTTGATGTTGTTGTTGATGATGATGATGTTGTTGATAACCACCAATATTTGATGATTGTTGATAAGCAATCGTTGTTTGATCCATTGTTGGATTATAATTTGATTTATACATTTGCGATATATAATCATTCGATTTTCTATCCAATACATTTTTCGGATTATAACTATTATTATTCGTTGTTGTTGATGATTTATTATTATTATCTACATTTATCGATTGACGATGATCTTGATGTTGAACATTCAATATCGAATCATTTAATGAATGATGATGTTGTTGCTGTTGTTGTTGTAAAACTTGTGATGATTGATCTGGAATTTGACCACCACCAACATTCATTTTATTCACTGATTGATTGGAATTTGTTGAACGATAATTTGTTGATGACGAATTATTTGAATCTACCTGTCCACTTGTCGGTAATAATGATGATATTGATGATTGTTTATTTGTTTGATCAATTGATTTTTTACCACCTGTTTGATTAGTGGAAGAAGAATTAACAAATAATTGACCATCTTGTGTTGCACTTAATGGAAATCCAGTACTTGAACCAAATTCTAATGAACCAAAATGTACCGAAAGATTTGCAATTGGATCATTTGATGGCATTTCAACAGCCGAACTTGATGTATCTTGTTGTTGTTGTTGTATCATCATTTTTGACATTTGAACATTGGCAGGAACTTTGTTAGCCGTTGCTGCTGCTAATGTTCTTGCCGCTGCTGCTGCATTTGCGGCAGCATTATCAGCTGCTGATGTTGTTGATCCAACAACCGCTGCTGATGGCATACCAACTAATGATTTAATACTTTCGGTTGCTTGTTTCGAGAATTGACTTGAATATGTATACTGATGATTGAGATTGGAATTCTGCGATACATGCTGTATGAATGCTTGTCCAGCCGATGTCTGCTGTTGTTGTTGCGATTGTGGCTGCTGCGTTTGTCTTGGTGGTTGTTGTTGTTTTTGCATATTATTATTGGATGCTGCAATAATTGAACTCATTGTTGGTTGTTGATCATTTGATTGCGTTTTACCAACAATAAACTGTTGCTGTTCATTTCTTGATGATTTCATTTGATTTGTTTCATCTTTTTCCGATGATAAAACTTTGGTACTTGGTGTGAACACTTTGGTTGCCATTGGTTGAGTCCAATCTTCTTCATTCCAATCTTCATTCGCAGCAACATCTGCCCAATTACCAACAGTCATTGTTTGCAGATCATCAGACGGTGGTGTAGGTTTTCCAATGGTTGTCGATCCTGGTAAATTTGATCCAGTTGTAGAATTGTTTGTTGTTGATTCGATAGCATTATTTGACCATGTATCAATTGAATTTGGAAATCCATCGGATATTTGATTTGGACCATTTTGACCAACACCACCACCCCCACTGCTGCCACCAGCACTAATACCACCACCACTTCCACTACCATGATGATGATGACCATGGCCACTACCACCACTTCCACTATTAGTCTGATTATTTTGCATTCCACGATTCATAAATGTACGAGATCCACGTGCAATATCACCACGACCACGTGATGAACTACCACCACGGCCAGTTCCACGTCCACCACCTCGTCTAATAGATCGATCACCGCCGCCACCACTTTTACGATCGGTATATGCTGCCGTATTGAAAACATCACCACCATCATTATCAGTTCCATCTTTATCATTCGATTGTTGTTGATTTGAATAATTATTGGTCGATGATTGTGAGCCACCACGATAATCTTTTTTCCGATTAATATTGTTCCTACCAGCCATCATAGATCCACCACGACCTCTTGAATTTTGACCACGACCACGACCACCACTACTACCATCAGCATTCGAACGATTTGATTTTTCCATTCGATTATTCGATTGACCACCATTGGTCAACGTAGTTGACGATGATGCATTTGCATCCGATCCTCCAGTCGATTGATTCTGACCCGACAATGACGATGTTGCATTTGTAGTATTAGTAGTAGCAGATGATTTACCACGTTTTTTTCGCCCAGTCGATTGCCATTCCGAATCAAATGATTCACCATCCAATATCATTTCGATTGCTTTTGGCATATCATTGTCACAGTCATATAGGGCAACGGCAGCATCTTCACGTGTAGCTCCAGTTAATTCAACAATTTTTTCAATTTTTGGCTTTAAATCATCATCTTTTTTATCGCTCATTAGGCTTGCAATACGCATTTGTTCGGCCGTTGGCTAAAAAAACAAACAGAAAAAAATAAACATTACTCCAAATTGATTTAAAAATCAATAATCTTACCTGGAATTTATCATTTTTATTATTATTACGAAATTCATCAGCCGAAGAATGATTACCACTATTATTATTATTATTAGCCATCATATTGTTTGATGATGATGATAAATCATTCGATATCATCATATTATTATTATTATTATTATTTGTTGTTGTTGACAATGTTGATGATGATGGCTGTGTTGATGATTTTGATGAATGATGATGATGTTGTTGTTGATGTATCTTTTTATTTGTTGATGTACCAATTTGATTCGATCTTGAACTTCGTCCACCACCACCGCTACCACCACCTGATTGTGATGAATTTGACACTAATGTGGTCATCATTCGATTCGAAAGATTTAAAAAAAATTGATTCGATTCGAAGCCAAACAAACAGACAGACAGACAAAAAAAAATGGAAATTTGAAAAACAAAAACACAGGTTAACCAGACACACAAAAACACCAGCAAAAAGTTTAGTTTTTCAGGTTTTTTGACAATTTGTCAACGAAGATGTTTCTTCTTCTACTTCAAAGATGATAAATATATTTACACCGATTTGAAATATATTTACAGACACACACAAAAATGGAAATGAAAAAGGGATAAAATCTGCAAAAGAAAAAGAGAAAAAAAATCAGATAAAAATGTCAAAAATTTTGAAAATGAAAAAAAACACGTGCTTGCACGTGCGGGTAGTAGTGGTCGATCGTCGACCTATGACCTATCGGGAAATCTTCGAAAAAAAAAAATTCGAATCAAAATTCTGGATTCGAAAAACAAACAAACAAAAAATGATGGCAAGAATCAAATTGCTTTGATGATATGGCTATAGTGTCTTTTGTTCTCTCTTTTGTGGTTTGATAATTCCTACGCGGCAAACAAAAAACATCGTGTGTACGGTGTGTGTGTCTATGTGAGTGATGATGTCTAAACAGAAACAAAAAATTGGAAAAATTTTTCTTGGAATTTCTACTCTTTTTTGGCTGATAAAGATGCTAATGTTGTTCCAGAAAAAGAAAGGATAAAAGACTTTCTTGGATAAAGAAATTCGAAACATTTGGATTTTCAATTTTTTTAAAAGAAAAAAAAAACATACCCAACAAACGAAAAACGAAGAAGTGTTTTTTAATCAACAACACACCGAACCAACTAAAAGAAAAAAAACACTCACCACACAAACACACACACACACACACACAAACAAAGCAAACTTTTTTCTTTTTCAAAGCAAAAAAGAAAAAACACACTGCTGCTGTTGCTGCTGCATTGATTGAAAACGACGAAATGAAATGTGAAAAAAGCAAAGAGGGAGCCCAGATTGAACTCGCTTGCAATAATCAAAAAAAAACAAAAAAAAAAACAACATCCTTCTCTGGCGTTTCGAGAGAGGTAGTGGGAGAGGGTTATACGTACAAGTTGTACGGGGGGTTTTCTTTTCTTTTGTCGTTGATCGAATCGAAGAAGGAGGAGGGGATCGATCGAGAGGTACCTGTATTTTTTTTTTCTTTATCCAAAAAAGAGAGAAACGACGCAAAAAAAACACATTGTAAATAATGAAGTTTATTCATATAGGACGTTTTTTTCGGAATTCGGAATGGCGTGATTTTGTTAGGTTTGGTCACAATCAACAATACGTTATTTGATAGTGGAATAGGAAAAAAAGAATAATTTTTTACATTCGCAATAGATAATTTACGTTTGAAATATTGTGACCAATCCGGATGTAAGTTTCATAATGAATTTTGACCACACCTTCATCCATTGTTCAATGTGGTATGAGGGGTGGTGGTGGTAGTAGCGGGCGCATAACGCCATCCATTTGATAACCAAGAATTCGAAGAACCAAACCGCGAAAAAAGAGAAGAAAAATCTTTTTTTGCTAAATTGAAAAATTTAGCAATGGTTTTTATCAGAATTTTATTTTCAACTTTTTTTCGATTTATTTTTTCGGGATACTGTTGTTGTTGTTGATGATGATGATAATGATGAAAAATTGGATGATGATGATGAATATTGTGATGTTATTGAATTTGAACGATTCAGACGATGTTCACGATCATAACGTATTAATTGCATTTGTTTATCGATTGATAATTGGAAAAAAATTCGATAAAATTCATGACAAGATTTTTCTAATTGTTGACATAATTGTCGATGAAATAGAACATCTTGTTCGGTAACTAATAATCGACCATCATCGCTGTTTGTTTGTAAATTTTTTTTAAAATTCACTAATATAGCCGATGTATCACGAATAGTACGACGTAAATTTTTTAGTTTTCCAGTCGATAATAATCGTCGAACAAGATAACCACGAACAAATGCTGGTAATCGACGTAATTTATAACGAATTCGATCATAATCATTATCATTATCATCATCCATAGGACACTATTTAAACACAAACAAAACAAAAAAGGAAATGAACACAGATGGATTGAAATAATTTTATCATAATAGACAAACATACCATTTTAGTATTCGATGAATGATTTTCCTGTAATGATAATGATGATGATTGTTGTTGTTGTTGATAACAATTAGGAACAGCATTAACCATTCCAAATCTAATAGAATCCGATAATTCTTGAAACATTTTCATCAATGTTGAATATTGTCCGGTTATTTTCAAACGATAATCGGATAATTGTCTGGATAAATCCATTAATTGTTGTTCAAAGATTTCGATTCGTTCAAAATCTGTTTGTAGAAATATTAATTTTTGATAAATTGATTGAAATTTTTCTTGTAATAATTGATATTGTTGATTATCATTATTCTCATCATTGTTATCATTGATAAATGAATGCCATATCGTAGAATCATTATCAGTAGAATCATGATCTTCATGAAAATTATTCTGCTCTCTGATTGTCGTCGACGATGATGATGAAGATGATGATCGACTGGATAGACTGGGTGAATCGGTTGTATAAAAAGTTGATTCATTTGAATCATCATCGTTCAAGGTTTGATCATAAATCGATGATGATGATAAATTATCCATCATGTTTTTTTTCAAGAAAAAAATTGTTCCAATTGGAACAACCGATATTGCAATATTCGAATGCAATCCGAAAATCGAACGTTTTTTCACCTTTTTTTTTTCTTGGTTGGATGGGACTGTCCATAATGTCCAGTACAGCCATTTTTTTACGGCCAAAGTTCAGCAACAAGTGGTTTTTGGTGGTGTCTTTGATGAAAAATGAAGAAATCGTCTGTTGAACGACGACGACGATGATTACCTGTTCGACTAGCCCTCGAAGGCATATTTTATTGATTGATTGGTGGTGGTGCAACAGCAACAACAACAAAACACACAGACACTCAATCTTCTTGTTCGTCGGCCAACAAAAACTGCCATTTTCTGCGAGAAAAAATTAGCCACGGAATGAAATTTTTTTTTTTTTGAAAAATATTTTATAAAATTTTATCGATTTGATTTTTGAATTTTTAATTAATTGATTGATTGATGGTGATGATGATAAATCTATGAATCAATGAAATGATGGCTACGGCTACATCATTAGGTTTGAATAAAGTATTTATATTGGATAAATATTTTGCCGAAGTAAGTAAAAAATTATTCATCAAAAAAAACAAAAATCAAAATCAATTTTAACTTGATTTTTTTCAATTTTTTCATAATTTTAGCTGAATAAATATTGGCAAAATGAATGTCTTCATCAACAAGGTAAATTCAACAAAAAAACCGAATCGGAAACGTTCGAATTCAAGACGTTCGATTCGGAAACGTTCGAATTGAAAACGTTCGATTTCGAATCTTGACTTTTTTCGAGAAAAATTTATCTTTTTTTTGAATTTTTTGTTTTGTTTTACCAAATCCAGATAAACCAAAATCCAATTATAATCAACAACAACAACAACAATATTATCATCATCAACAACAGCAACAACAACAATCATTTAAATCGAATGATTATCGAAAATTAAATAACATCAACAACAACAACCAAAATGATCAATCAACGATATTGGATAATAATATCAATGATTTGATTCATTTGGAAGCACCAATAACCGAAGATTCTCTAATACGATCATTACATACAAGATTTTTATCACAAGAATATTTTGTAAGTTTGAATTTTGCTTTGGTTAAATTGATCAATTTTTTTATGATTTAAAATCTATTTTCATTAGACAAATATTGGACCAGTATTGATTGCATTAAATCCATATCAAGATCATTATAATCCACTTACATTGGATAGTGCACATCGTAATGATAATTGTTATCCATTATATCGTATTGTTTATGAATCAGTTCGGCAACAATCTGAAACTGGTTATCCACAAGTAATAATCCTGTCGGGTATTAGTGGTTCGGGTAAAACATATGCATCGATGACAATCCTGAGGCAATTATTCAATCTAATTGGTGGTGGTCCAGAAACTGATTCATTTAAACATTTGGCTGCTGCATTTACCGTGTTAAGAAGTCTAGGTTCAGCATCCACAGCGGAAAATTCTGAATCTAGTCGTATTGGAAATTTTATCGAAATACAAATTCAAGATGGTGCTATTTATCGTACGAAAATTCATTGTTATTTTCTTGATCAATCACGAGTGGTGAAAACATCGATTGTTGGTGGTAATGGTGAACGTAATTATCATATATTCTATCAAATGCTTTTGGGATTATCATTGAATGAAAAAACAAAACTTTATCTGGATGGTTATAATTTAAATGATTTTGATTATCTTTATAATAATAATCAATATCAACAACAAGAATTTGATCAACAAACAATTGAAAATCATCAAAATCGTTTTGAAGCATGGAAATCATGTTTATCTGTACTTGGTATTCCATTTATGGATGTTGCTCGGATATTGGCTGCAATTCTATTACTTGGTAATATTCATTATTCATCAAATAATCATCAAGATAATGATAATTCAGGCAATGATAATGATAATTTATTTAATAAAAAAGAACTACATGCTGTTGCATCACTTTTAGGCATTTCAACAGCACATTTACATCGTGGATTAACACAACAAAATTTGCCATCATCATCATCATCGGATAACAAACATCATGGACAAATTCTGGTTGTACGAAGAAATTTGAAAAATTTTCAAATGACTAGAGATTCATTAGCGAAAGCATTATATGCAAGAACTGTTGCTACAATTATACGGCGGGCAAATTCTTCGAAACGATTAAAATCAAATAGTTGTACAACAAGTTCTGAATCGAATGATTCAACACATCATCATCAACATTTGGAAACATCAAGTCATCATCAGGCTGCATCAAGTATTGGTTCAGCATGTGGAAAATCATATAAATCAATGGCCATTCTACAACAGGCATTAAGATATTCATCAATGGAAGGATTTATTGGAATATTAGATATGTTTGGGTTTGAAGATTCACGGCCAAGTCGATTGGAACAACTTTGTATTAATCTTTGTTCGGAAACAATGCAACATTTTTATAATACACATATTTTCAAATCAAGTCTAGAATCTTGTCGTGATGAAGGTATTAAACCTGATTTGGAAATTGATTATGTTGATAATGTACCTTGTATTGATTTGATTTCATCTTTGGTAAGTTTTTTTTTGTTTTTGATTGATTGATTTGATTTTTGACTTTTGATTGTTTTCCCACGAATAGCGTACCGGTTTATTTAGTTTAATTGATTATGAATCAATCAATAATGGACGACCAGAATCACTTGTATCAAGATTATCATCAATTCATGGATCAAACAATCGATTTTTATCAACAACAACAACGATAACATCGACAACAACAAATCAATATGAAAATGATCAACAACAACAACAACAATTATCAAATAAAGCAATAACAACATTTGGTATTCAACATTTTTGTGGTAATGTTATCTATGATACACAGGATTTTATCGAAACAAATTCCGATCAATTATCCGATGATTTGATACAAATATTTCATAAAACACAATGTTCATTTGGTTTTGTTTCACATTTGTTCAGTGGTGAACTTCGTATTCTAAAGAATCGTTATCAATCACAACAACCACAACAGCAATCGAAAGGTCTTCGATTTCGTATTTCTCCTGTTCATCATCAACCACCATCAGCTTCTTCGTCTATATCGAATTCCAACGATCAATCCACAACGACATTTACACAAGATTTTCATAGCCGTTTAGATAATCTCCTGAGGATTTTGGTTCATGCACGGCCACATTTTATTCGTTGCATCAAAATTAATGATCGTGAACAACCCGGTTATTTTGATCGTTTTACAATAATGAGACAAATTCGTTCATTACAAGTATTGGAAACTGTAAATTTAATGGCTGAAGGTTTACCACATCGTATGCGTTTTAAAGCATTTATTAGCCGTTATCGTTTATTGATACATTCAAATCAAATTGGACAAAATAATAATAATCAAAATAATAATGATGATAATCAATTGATAATGTTGGATGATTGTCGTCGAATTTTAGAACATTTTGATCAAATAATTCAGATAAATTTGATGGCCAATAATCGTTCAACAGCAGCATTAACATCATGGACATTAGGTCGGAAACATGTTTTCCTTAGTGAATCTGCTCGACAACAATTAGAAATTGCACGTAATGGTCGTCGTAATTCAGCTGCAACAATTATTCAATCATTATGGCGTGGTTATCGTTTACGTCGACAATTACCATATATTAAACAACAACTAAATCATCAACGTAAAGAGCAAAAACAATCATTAAATCATTCAAATGTTTTACGTCGTCCACCAAGACCACAACCAATTTCATTTGGTTCGACTTCACCAACACCACCATTGCCGCAATCTGAATCACAAAATGTTCCTATTAGTAAATCAATACAAAATGATATGTATGATTTTAATTTGATTAAAGAAACCTGTTTTTTACTTGGTATTGATCCGGTAAGTTATTATTATTTTTTTCTTTCTTTGAGATCATCATATAATCTCCAATCATTTCATTGCATTTATTTAGGATACACCACCCGCATTACCATCAAGTCGATCATATACAATAATGGGTAATCAAAAATTTTCATTTCCTCAAATTCGATCTCTTCGTATGGATTTCATTGGTAATATGATTATATTATGATGATCAATTCAATATATGCTAATCTTTTTTTCTTTCATCCATAGATCCAATGAATCATTTAAAAATTTCCAAAGGACAAAAAGTAATTGTTCTTGAATTTTCACAATATAAACGTGGTTGTTTTACTGTTGAATATTCAAAAAATCTTCGTTTCGATATTCCACAACATTTTGTTGAACAACAAACTGAATTTAATAATAATTCCAATTTAACAACAACAACAACTGCTAATAATACTGCTGCTCATCATAATTCTCATCAACATTATTTAGGATATGGAATATAAATTAAAATAAAAATAAAAATTTCATAATTTCCGGTAATTAAACAAAAAAACCGTGTTTTCAGATTTCTATTTAAACTTTTGATTACTATCGGAGTCAAAATAGAATTTGTTGTTTTTTTTTGAGTGGGCGGAGTATCATTTTTAAACTGCTCATGTGCAGTTCGAAATCCATTTATTTTTTTTTTTTGCTGCTGCTGCGCTAATTCACAATCTGGACTCATTGTGTTTTTCATTGATGTTTGTTTGTTTGTTTGTGTCATATATAGCCACTTTATATCCCAGCAAATTTTTATTGAAAAAGATCTTTTTGAACAAAAAAAAAAATTCGGTCCACAAAAAAACCCAAAAAATATACTACCAAACACAGGGTTCGTTGGCCCTTTTATTTTCCCGTGTTTCTCTCTCTCTCTTCAGTCTGTGTGTGGCAAATGTTTCATTTCGTTTGATTTTATTCCAGCGAAAAGAAAAAGACATCTGGATATGAGGAGATGGTCCAGAAATGGCAATGATAATTTTCTTTTTAAAATAAAATTTTTTTTCCCCGTATGAATTATCATGAAAAATTTTCATCAACAAAATTCTAAATCATCATCATCACCAACAACATCCAAATCATCAACGAATTCAAAACATCCACATCAGCCATCATCATCATTAATAATTAATCAACAACAGCAACAAAAACAATTTGATTCTGCTCATCATCCAAATAATAATAATAATTTGCCTGCTTCAAGTAAGTGTAATAGTTTTATTCATTTCGAACGTTCGAATCATTTTGTTGTTTTTTCTCTTCTCTATTTTTTTTCTTCCATTTAAGTAATTGGTTTGAATCGTCATCCATCCACAGCCAACAAACATTCATTGGGAAATAATTTTATTGGTAAAAATATTCCACCACCATCATTACCATCAGAGATTTTAACCACACCAACAACACCGACAGCAAATAATCAATTTTTTACAGCAGTTAATGATGATGAAATTGTTGACAATGATCTTTACCTCTATAATCAACCACAACAGCAACATGTTCAATGTAATTAAATAAATTTTTTAATGTCATTAATTTTTTTTTACTATTTTTCAATTTTTTTTTTTGGCAACAGTAATCAATCAAAATGATCCACAATTTTATTATGATGGAAATGTAAGTAATTTTATCTCTCTTTTTGTTGATGTTTTTTGTATTTTGTAAAATTCCTTTTTGCACCAAATATAGAATTATTACTGTAGTAATAGACAATATCCATTAACATTATTATCACCATCATCTTCAACATCATTATCATCAACAATATCATCATCATCATCATCAATGAATCATAATCATCATCCAACTATTGTACCGAATGTGCATGATCCACGTGCCTATAATCATAATAATAATAATTTACGTTTTAGTTCGGTTAGTTTTGATAGTGGTCATGGTAGTAGTAGTAATGCTGAAATAACAACATTTATAAATAAGGTATTTCCATTTCCCTTTCCTTTTTGAAATGACATAATATTTTTGGGTTTTCTAAATTTATCTTTTTGATATGTAGAGTGTACAACAACCTCAATCATCATCATCAACATTGAATCAGAATCGTGTTTCAATACAAAGTTACGAATCAACTGGATCGAATACATCAAGTATTGATCCATTACAACACAAACAACAACAGCAAAAATCATCATCCATATCCTCTTCATCATCATCTTCGTCATCAAAATCTTCATCATCATTTTGTTCATCATCAAGTTTATCAACATCAACAACAGCAACCAATAGTTCATCATCACCATCACAATCACAAATTGATTCATTTACAGCAGCAAATAATGTATTTTTAAATATGAAACCACCATCATCCTCGCAGCAACAACAACAATCATCATCATCATCATTTGGAAATGTACAAAATATGAAAAATGAAAAAGAACGTTTATTGGCCAAAGCTGGCCCATTAACTATTGCCGAAATGTTGTTGCATGGTGTAGCCGATTCAGAAATGATACATGTTTGGTTACAAAAAATTCAATTATCACAATATGAACAAAATTTTTTAGATGCTTGTTATGATATGTCAACAATATCCCGAATGACACCACAAGATTTGATTGCCATCGGTATTACTGATCCAAAAGCACGTAGCCTATTTACAAATGAAATACAAAAACTTAAAGTACCCGAAAATCTACCAGATTATCGACCTGTAAGTGTCAATCAATCAAAAAAAATTTTATCTTTTGTCATTTTTTTTTTGATTGTGTTTTTTTTTCATTTCATTTTCATTTTTTCATTTTTTTCACTGAACAAACAAACAAAATACAGAGTTCATTATATGAATGGCTTAAATTGTTAAATATGGATTGTTATCATCAAGGTTTATGTCAACAAGGCTATACAACTATTGATCATGTTTTACAATTAACATGGGAAGATTTAGAGGATGTTGGCATCAATAAATTAGGTACTTTTATTTTTTTCTTATTTCGAACAAATAACATTCATTCATTTAATTTTTGTTCAATTTCGAATCAGGACATCAAAAAAAGATATTATTGGCAATCAAAAAAACCAAATCAATCAAATCTTCATCAATTGATATGAATGATTCAATTGGTAATAGTCATCGGCCAACTTCAAATGGAAATGATTTTAATCAAATGCTTCCACCGCCGATGCCAATACCACCACCACCACAATCGCCTTCACATGGTATACTTCCGTTATCGATACCATCATCACCATCATCGATACAATCGATTTATGATCAAACATTACATCATCATACAAAATTACCATATAATAAACCAGTGACAATCGATACTTTTGCTTTAGCCAATGGTCAAACAACAACAACAACAGTGCCAAATAATAATAATGCCGAATCACAGCAACAACAACAACCATATCAGGATGTGATGATTAAAATGTATGCCAATAATAATCATACACCACGATCGATGATGACATCACCAATCAATAATAATAATGATAATTCAATGATGATGACAAATAGGCCAATAATGATGATGGAAAATTGTCATATTATTGATAAACGAACTAATCCAATGGCTCCTATGATAATGTCGGCTATGGATTCAAAATCACAACAACGAATGCATACATTTCAACAACAGCAACAACAACATCCTTATCTTCAACAACAAACACAACAACCAAATTTGATGCGTAATAATTCAATGATACAAAATAATCATCATCAAAATGATAATAATTTATTGATAAATCAATCTAATCGACGAAGATCATTAGAAAGTTTAAATATTATATCATCGAATGAATATAATAATAATAATGATAATGGTGGATCTCCGGTTATTTATGCAAATATGTCAAATATTATATTGAATAGTAGTGTACCACAGCAACAACAACAAAGATTACTATCATCACCATATCAGTATTCTAATAATAACTGTGATCCAGCAACAACAATGATGATGATGATGAATAGGCAGACTATATTTTTTCCGGAATCACCTCGTCCTTCAACATCAATTTCAACATTTTCAAATCTAGATCATTTGGATCCGAATATGATTGAACAACAGCAACCAATATCAACACAAGGAACAAATTCATTGAATCGACCATTAAAAATATTATCAATGTTGACAAATCAAACAGGACAGACAAAATCATTACAAGATTCGAATATGATTGAAATGTCAGCAATGAATAATCATCGACAACAATCACCACGAATAAATATATCAAATTCGGATATTTATTCAACATTTAATCAACAACAACAAGTTAGGAAAAAGCCTCCTCCACCACCACCACCACCTCGACGATCATTTAATTCAATCATCGAACAGCAGCCACTACAATCAAATTCAATGCCAACAACACCAATACATCAACGATCACAATCTAATCATCAGAATAATTATAATGATAATGGTGGTGATGATGATGTATTATTTGTAAAACAATTAAATCTTGCTACACCAAATACGGCTACATTAAGAAATGAAAATTTCTTTGCAAATTGTGTTAAAACAATGACAAATAATTTTGCTGATAGCCATTTTCGTCGTGATGATGATAATGGTGATAATGATGATCATCAATCAACAACAACAACAAATAAATCCGGATTACGAATACAGAATAATTCCTTTTTTATAAATAAAAATCGTACACTGCCATTGCCTAATCATCATCATCATGGTCAACAACAACAACAACAAAATAATAATAATAATATGATTACGAATAGTAGTAGTTCATCAGCTGAATCAATGTATTTTGCAAATGATAATATTGGTACTATTAAACATAATATGCCAGCACCATCATTTGGTCATTCATCATCAACATCATCATCGTCGTCATCATCACCTTCGTCATCATTATCACCATCGACAACGACAACAACATCATCATCTTGTTCGGATAAAGTTTTATCATCGTCATCATCAACATCGATGAATATTAACAATAACAAACAAGTCACCGGAATTGAATCAGAATCATTAAATAAACGAGATTCTAGGTAAGCGAATTTCATTGTTTGGATTATTATTCATCATTTATATTTTTCAATTCTTTAAAATAGCCAAAAAATTGATGATTCATTGGAACATATTGAAATGATGTTGGCCACATTAAAAATGCAGCTTGATTCAATTGATTAACCCCTTGACAAATCACCCTGGATTCTTTTTTTTAAAAATAAATATAGCAAACGAAGAATTTATTGTTGATTTTTTTTATATAAATTTTTTTTAATTCAAAATTTTTGATATTGTAAAATTGTAACCACACCATTTACTAACACACCTTGGACCAAATTATAAAAATGATCTACCTGTTCTCAATTACTAATTTAAAAAATTTATTAATAAGAATCACCACCATCATTAATTCATTAATTATCATTTGATAATTGTAATTGATTAATTAATTGACTAATTTCATAAATATTTAAACGTTTACGGCTACTTGGTTCAAACATTCTTTCTAATAATGTTGCTAATAATTGTTGTTGTTGTTGCAGGCGATTCCATTTCCATTGACGATATTTACTTGATTTGGTTGTTTTTGTTTTGATTATTGTTTGTGTTTGGTCGGATGATGATGCGGATGATGAAGATGAAGCTGATGATGATAATAATGATATTGGTGGTGGTGGTGGTGGTTGTGGTTTTGGTTTTGTTATATGTGGTATTAAAATTGATGTTGATTTTTGTATAATGGTTGTAGCAAGATTTGTTGGCATACGCCATTCACAATTTAATTGTTTATCCAGCATTTTCCTTGCAAATTGTATACGTTCATCTTTATTTGGTGGTGGATTATCAAATGGATGTTGTTTACTTAGTAAAAGATATAAACAAACACCTAATGCCCATATATCAGCTTTAAATGGATCATATGAATGATATTGATAGGATTTTTTTCTTGTTCGTTGTTGTTGTTGTTGTTGATTATGATTATCACGATTAATACCCGATGCAACAGGTGCTAATTGTTGTTGTTGTTGTTGTTGTTGAACAGTATTTGCACGAATATAACATGATAATATTTGTGGTGACATATATGCTAATGTACCGGCCGGTTTATTAAACCGTAATAAACCGGATTGTTTTGAATTTACCAAACGACTCAAACCGAAATCAGCAAGTTTAACAATTTCCTGATATTTACCATTATTTTGATCGCTAATATTTGCCGCAGTTGCCGCTGATGTTGTCAAAAGAATATTACCCAATTTAAGATCACGATGTGCTAATCCGATTGAATGTAAATACCGAATACCATCGGTTATTTGTTGAAAATAACCGATAGTTATCGTTGTATCGAATGGACCGAATTTTTTTAATTTTGCCCATAATGTACCACATCGGGCATATTCCATTACGATATAACTATATGATAATGATGAATTATCAATACGGCTATTTCCACCACCAATACTATTACTACTACCGCCACTATTACCACCTTGATGACTATAAATAAATTGATCAAAAAGATGAACGATATTTTTATGATGACGACCACGATACATTGCGAATACTTCATAGGCAAAATTTTCCAGCGCAGTTAGTTTATCTTTCCGGTTTGATAGCAACATTATTTTGCATGCTAATGGTTTTAATCGTTGCGGCTGCGGTGGTTGCGGATGGTCGTTGTTGTCCGCTGCCGCTATTCCGTTATCGTTGACATTCGAATTTGAATTATCGTTGTTTTGGTGGTTGTTATTTAATTGATAAATCTTATAAACAGCACCATAACCACCTTCACCTAATTTTTTATTTGTCATACGATAACCACGTTCTTCCAGACGTTTTCTATGTAAATATTTTATTAATTTATTTGTTGCTGTTAATTTTGTTATTGAATTTGTTGTTTGATTTGCATTATTCAAATGATTCAAATAATAATCTTTACCATTTTTTTGATTCATAACCAAATTTAATGAAATATATTCATTTACAATCATCATTTGATTGGAATTCATTCCTGCTGTTGTCGTTGATAATGGTGGTGATTTTGTTGTATCAAAATTTTCATCATCAACAACAACGTCATTTTCAATCATTTTATTCATCGAAGATTCTTTTTGATTTGCTTGATTCATATTGATCACTGTTAATTCATCATTATACGATTGTATCAGGGAATCGGCTTCTTGAAATGATTTTCTTTTACCACCACCACCACCACCACCAACATTCAATTTATCAACAACGATTGTTTTTTTCAATTTTTTTCTTTTGTTATTTGCGGATAAATCTTCCATTGCAATTAGATTCTGTTGTTGTTGTTCCGGTGCTGATGATGGTAAAGCTTGTGGCTTTGATTCAGGTAATGGTCGACGATTTTCAACCAGATTTTCATTATCATTCTTTTTGATTTCATCATTGTTGTTTGGTAAATCAAATTCAATACACATAATATCGGTTGATGTTTATTAATCCGAGGAAAAAATTTGACCAGTTTTTAAATCGAAAAATTCGGTCAATCAATTAGGTTATTGGGTTCGATTAATTTCGAATTTTTTTCTGATTTTTGACATCATTTTGTTTCTCGATTTTTTGAATTTGATTAAATTTTAATTCGAAAAATTCTATCGCGATTAAAAAAAAATTAGAAAAAAATTTTGTTATTTTGTTTCAACTATGCCCACCTAAGAAAAGATGCTTTTTGAGCCCTTAGGATCAAAATAGGGGTGTTTCGAATCGAATCGATTCGAATTCGAATCATAATTATTATCCATCCCAAATTACATGATAATCATTGTTGAAACTTATTAAATATCCATAATCGATGAGTTTATTTCATTTCATTTCATTTTTTCTTTCTTTGGTAAGTTTCGATATTTCCAATCGAATGATTTAATGATTTTCAAACAAAGTTTTTTTTTGGTTGAAGAGACTTTCAACAAAAACAACAAGGGCGGGCTAAAGAATTTCGGATGTTTGTATATACAAAGAGCCCACGATATTGATATTGATATTTGAAAGAAAAAAAAAAGATTTTTCTTTTTTTTTCGTAAGAGAAACATTCATTCATCCTTATGTATATGAATGAAATGGAAACATAAGTCATTACTTACTGAGATGATCAAACAAGTTGATCTTTTTCATCATCATCAATATCATCCATATCACATACCTAACGGTAAGATTTTTTCCGAATGTCCAGTGAAAAAAAAGGATGTATGTATTAACGGTGTTTATTGAAGAGGAATTTTTCTCAAAACAGACTAGCCCACCATTTGGTCGTGGTCAAGTTAGTTCGTCTTTTAAATGGCCTATTATTTTTCGAATAAACAAACAAACGAAAAGGTTTTTAGCAACATTTTTTTTATCGTATTTAAACTAACGGAAAAAAAATATCGATCACACACACACTTACATCGTGTTTTAGTTGACGACAATCAACATCAGAACATGATCGATAAAAAATATTCATTGATCAATCCAACAACAACAACTGATCATAATTGCATGGTGTAGTAATTGTTTATGATAATCGTCCATCTGCTTTATATAACCTTCGTTTATCAAAGTTGAATGAAAATTTCGATTTCATATTTCATCAAATCAAAACAAAACAATACAAAATATCCCATCTGTTATTGTTATTGGTGTTCGATCTGTTCTGATCTGATCTGATCATCATCTTCCGCCGATTTTCATCAATTTCAACAAAAGGGCCAAAGTAAGTAAGTAAATCCTTGAATGATAATAATGATAAGAAAGTTGGTCAAGGAATGATAATCGTTTGTTTGTTTTAATTACTTTGATCAATTTGCTTAATTTGAAATTTGCATGTTTTTTTTTGAAAAGTCCTTGTTGTTTTTTTCTTTGTTAAATATCCTTTGATTGCCGTATTTATCATCACCAAATTAGTGATGATTATTATCATGAATGAAATAGCCTTCGAATGTAATTGATCTGAATTCTTGAAATTCAGACATAGAATGTAAACAACATTATAATTATAATTGGCGACCACCACCATGCAATAGCGATTATCATCATCATCATCATCGTTTATTTACCTCTTTCATTTTTTTAAAACCTTGAGAATTTTTTTCATTTTAATCCCATTAATCATTTATGTTTGTTTTCTTTTTTCACTATATTTACCGATTAATAATTCTTCTAATTGATCACTTACTCACTCACTGATCATCATGTCATCAAACATTATTGCTGATTTTGACCAGGCGAACAACAGCCATGTTTGCTGACAGATATAATTGGTTCCTGTCGTTGTTATTTTGGCCATTTTATTATCATTTTTTTCTTGGTACAATTATTATGATGATGATGACGGCCAATGTTGTTGTTTCCATTCAACAAAATGATGATTCAAGAATTATACGAATGACGAATTCATTCATCGGTGGTAACAGTAATATTGATGATAATGGTCATAATAATTTACTTTCAAGATCTTCCTCATCATCATCGCCATCATCATTATCATCGACATCGAAAAAATTATTTGCCAATTCTCCGATATTTTATTTAAAATTGAAATCAACGGCAAATGCATTATTACAACAGCAGCAGCAACAACAACATCGATACCCATCATCATCGTCTTCGACATCGACATTTATCAATAATAATAATAATGAAATTACTTCCGTACGACGAAAAAATTCACAAATTTATAAACTTCCATTAAAATTTGTTTCGAATGCTAAACCCGTTCATATTCATGGTAATTATTTTTTTGTTTTTTTTGTTTTAATTTTTTTGAAAAAATAATCGATACTATCGTTCATTACTAATCGATGGTCATTATTTTTTTCGAATATTCTCTTCCTTTTTGAATATAGGATTAATAAATGAATCCGGTGGTAATGAATCAAATTTTCTGAAAAATCGAAATAAAATCCTAACATCATTGAGCCAAAAATTTCATCATAAACCATATACACCATCATCATCATCATCATCGATGACATCATCAAAAATATTCTATTTACCAACCAAATATCTATCGAATGCTAAACCAATATTTATTAAAACTTTAAAACCAATGATGATGAATAATGGTGATGGCCAAAAAAATACTTATTATAATTATTTATTCTGATGACAATCAATCAATCAATCAATTATTATTGCCATCATCGTGTATAATATCACATCATTCATTTTTTTTTTGATTCGCTTTTCATCAATTAAAAAGTTCATAGTAAACATATTTCATCATCACATCATTCTGTAATCCCATTAACATTAAAGTTTTTTTTCGGTTTAACGAAATATAAAATTTATTTTCGAATCAATTGATGACAAGGATGAGGATGATATTTTTTTTTGTTGGATGAGAAAAAAAAATAATTATCATGATTAATGATTTGGTGATGAATTTGATTTGCGGTCGGTTTTTGCAAAAAAATTTGTTGTTGTTTTTTGTTTGGTAGCATCAAAAAATCAAAACGATAAATATCGATTACAAATTGAGGTCAAAGGTTGAATTTGTTGTTGTTTCAATCAATTTAAGCTAGAATCATCATTATATTTGTTATCCATATCACGATTACGATGAACAGGATGAATTAGATGTGAACATGAATAACTACGCGATGAATTTGATGAGCCTGTTTGACCATCCTATTCATTTTTTGTTTGAATTGGTAAAATATTGATGAAAAGAATCGATTGAAATAGGAATCATACTTACATAGAATGAATTTGAACGTAAAATTTTACCAGAACGTGAGATCCAATCATTTTTTAGATATTTTCTTACTTCAGTTACTGGATATCGTTTTGATGGTTTGATTTCCATTAACCGGCGAAACATTCGTAAAGCACGTGGTGTAAATACATTAAAATAACGTGGTGTACGTGTTAATTTACGTTTTTGCCATTCGGCAAATTCACTAAAACGTATATCGGTTATATCGGCTTTTTCCCAAGGAAATCTTGTAGTTAACATTATACAAATCATAATGGCTAATTGCCATACATCACTGCCTGTTTCAATATTATAACCTTCAAGTAGAACGGCTTGCCAAACTTCCGGTGGACAGGATGGTAATGATTTTACACGTTTTTTTACTTGATTTTTTGCAAGAATAAAAAGATAATCCATAATTTCCAGAATTCATAATTAATAATGATTAATGATTTTTTATCAGAAAAAAAACATTGACATACCTAATGTACCAACACGACGTGTCAAGCCAAAATCAGTTAATTTAATTTTGGATAAATTTGGATTATAAATAAGTACATTTTCTGTCCTATATCGAAAATATTATTATCATCACACAATGTTTGATGATGAAAAAATAGCCAATTAGTTAAACCAATCGACAGACAAACGGTGACAGAGAGATATATGTTACCAGAAAAAAATTGATTTTCATCATCATCATCATAATCATGATAAATGAAAAAGATAAGAGAAAATTGGGAGAAAGAAAAAAAAAATTCACATCATCAATTTCTTTAGCTTTGGATATATGTTGCTTTTTTACAATCAATTTTTTTCTCGAATCAATCGATCTGATTCGATTCGACAAAAAAAATCGGTTAGCCTACCTACCTAACATCACGATGAACTAGTTCCATATCATGCATAAAATGTAATGCTGACACAATTTGTTCAACAACTAATTATTTGATGTTGTTGTTGTTTTTGTTGGTTGGTTGAATGGTCGATTGGTCGTAATTGATAATTTGTCGATAACCAATTTTAATCGAAGATCCGATCGGCGAAAAAGGGCCCGAAACCAAAACAAAAATCAAAAAAACAGTTCATAAAGAAAAAGAGATAAATGGATGATTAATTAGGTTATAATCATGGTCAAAAACAAATCATTCGCACATCATCATCATCATCAGCAAATAAACAACGACAATAACTACAACAAAAACAAAAAAATGATGTAATTTCGAATGTTTTTTTTACCTATTTTGACACTTTTTTCCTCAAGGCCGGCACCATTTGTTCGTAAAACAGCCTAATTACCAAGTGTTGTTGAATTAAAATAGTCCAAAATGATGAATTTTCAAAGGAAAAAAGGAAAATTGAAAAAGAAATGAAAAGAAAATTCAAATTAACTTTTTTTTCATCGAAATTGAAAATCTTTACTATATCATTAACAATGTTGTCATACATGTGATAATCATCATCATGTAATGATTATTATGATAATGATCGTCATAAAAAATAAATACCTGTTGTAAATCACCAAATGGTGCAATCTCCTGTGCAAAATAATAATGATCATGTGTTTCAAATGCAACATCATATGTATCAAGAATATTATAATGTGGTGATAAAAAATAACTATAATGGAATTCAAGTAGAAAATCTTTTAATGTTGTTGTTGATTTTGGTACAGCTTTTAATGCCACCTGAATGTCAGAAAAAAAAATCCAAAAAAAAAATCACAAAAAATAAATTCAGAATTGAATATTGTTAATTTTACCTCACAATGTGATGATTTATGTGATGCCAATATTACTTTACCATAATCCCCGGAACCAATTTCACGAATAACATCATAATTGGTCTCAATATCAATAATTTCTAATTGTAATTCACGAATTTTATGTATTGATAATTGTTTTTTGCTATTATCATTTGTCGATGTTATTAATGAGGCCATTTTTCAAATGGAATTCTGGTGAAAAAAAAAACAGAAAACAGAAAGAAAATTTTTACTTTTTTGAAAAAAAAATTTTCAATGATAAATCATATTGGATATTTTTAGGTGTCACACAAAATAACCCGATCTTTTCTATCTAGTTTTTCTTGCCCCCTTTTTTTCATCATCATTATTTCATTGAATGTTTGTTTGTTGCAAAATTCATTCATTCATTCAATTGCCTAGGTTATATAATTAAATTAACTTGTCTAAAAAAAAAATTATTTTTATAAAAAAAGTCTTTTTTTTCCAATGAAATTGATGATGATTGAAAAAAACGAAACGAAACGAAAAAACTAATTTTCACTGGCTATTTATACCTTTTTGGATAATCCAAATGGAAACAACAACATCATCATGATGAAAAAAATTTGTCCATTATCATCATGATGATCAACAAACAGCTATGATGATAAATTGATTTTGTTTTTTCTTTCTTGGTTTGGATTTATATTCCATTAACTCTAATTGAACAAAGTAAAGTGTTAACCAGGACCTAAGCTATGTTACGTAAGCAAGGTGGTGATGGTGACATGAAAAAAATTACATACCTGATGATTATCTATAATCCGTCCGTTTTTTTATGATTAATGTTTTGTTTATTTGGTTTTTTTTGATGACAATTTTCAAAAACAAAATAATTTGATGCTAGTGATGATCACCACATCATAAAATTATCACGATGAAGATCCAAAAACATTCAGATATTATATTTCTTCTTCTTCTTTGGGTGATGATGATGTTCGACAAAGAAGCAAAAACGTTCGAAACAAAAAACGTTCGAATCCGAAAAACAATCGATTAATCGATTAATGTGATGGACGTTAGTAAAAAAAATTGAATAAAATATTCGAAAATCAATTTTTGATTTGAATTTTTTCAATAATTTTAGTGAAAGTCAAAGAGATGATAATTTTTTTTTCAATTCAATTCTCGATATTTCACAACCGAGAAAAAAATTGCACATCGCATCATGCGAATTTTCTTCTCAAGAATGTGCTCTGTTTTTCTTTTCCCCAGTTTTGTTTGGTGAACATTTTTTCAAGACGACGACTACATTGAAGAACATTCTTTTTTTTTCTTCTTCATTTGAACACGAATTGATTTAAAAATAATTATCCAACCATCCATCCATCCATTCATCCATCAAGCAATGATAATCATCATCATCATCCGAATAGAGAATGTGTGCATGTAGAAAGAATATCGAATGAACGAAAATGAAAATCTCCGATTCCATTATTCATTCATCCATCTTTAATTCAAATAACAAAGATGTTTTTGAATGTAGAAAACATAGAATTTTGCTATTTTGACAAAATGTAATTCTAACTCAGTATTACGATTGCCATCGGGAATCAACGAGAAACGAAAAACGTTATAATCTTATTTTCATTTCATTTCTTTTTTTGTTGTTTTGGTGGAATAGGGCAAAAAAAAAGTAAATCTTATTGTGTGTCTTGGTGGAGTGTTTTAGTTAAATGTTTATAAATATACAAATGATGATGGTGAAGAATTTTTTTCTGGATGATGATTGTACTTGTTTGTTTTGTTGTTTACAATTCTTTAAATTTGTTTGTTTGTCTTTTTCATCATTATTATTAAGATGTTTTCAAGCTTCGAAGAACAAAAACTTAAACCAAAAAAAAATCAAGCACTTTGCACTTGAATGACTTGATCAACAAATCATTTCCTTACAAATTAATTAATTTTTTTTTTGTTGTTGTTATTGTTGATAACAATTTTTTCTTTTTGTTGTGATTCAATTAACCAAAATGTTGTTGTTGTTATTGTTGTTAAAATCAATTATCAATTGAAAATTGGATTATTGTCATCATCATCGTTGTTGTTGTGGGATTAAGACATAGGATTAATATCCTCAACAACAAGAAGAAAAAAAAAACAAAACCAGAACAAATCCAAAAATAGATTAGCCTTTGATTTTGATAATGATGTTTTTTTCTTTTCATTTCATTTCATTGCATTGATGATGAAATCCTGAATGATAATGATGATTTATTTATAGGAATGACATTATCCATCTATGTTTAATTTTGGATTTTTTTTTCATCATCATCATGGTCGTTATAGCCATATATTGATGATGATGATCATCATCATAATGATCATAACATAATGACGATGATTATTATTATTGTTGTTATTTACAGATGAATTAGCTCTCATTGTTTGTTTACTATAATAATAATCAAGAAAATCAATAACATTTCGTTCATCATATTGTCCATAATTATTTAAACATTTTGGACATATTTCTTTAGTTGGAAATTGATATTTTGGATAATAAGGATCTTCATATTTATATGGATCACCATTGTGGGAAAGTTTTGAATTCATTTGATTATGAACAGTCCATAGCCATATAACACTACTATTTAAATATGGTAATTGTTCACGAAGATTGCTGGAAACATTTAGAAAATAATGACGACATTCTGAACAGGTAAAAAATGTTTCAATATAATTACGCATTACGGGTAATACTTTTGGTTCCAATGATAATGTTTTTGATTGTTTAGTTTTTTTTGTTGTCGATGTTGACAATAAATCTTTTTCCCTGTTCAATATAGCCATACGGGTTAAATTAAATTCTTGTACAGTCATTGCATGAAATAAAACCCACAGGCCACATGGATAACCACGATAAATCGGTAGGCTACCATTACAATGACGCCAACTTTCTAATGGTTTTAGGAAACCATCAGCCGTACGTATAGCGGCCAGATATTTTGACACATCCAATCGATCACCATTTTTATTGACAAACCAACCGGTCATTCGTTTAAATAGTCGTCGAACATTTTCATTATCAAATGGAAAATATTGTAAAATTGTTTGAAATAATTGTTTTATAACTTGTAATTGACGACCATTAAATCGTCGACGACCATTAACAATTTCATAAATTAATGAATAACGTAATGCATTATGTAAATCAACATAGCTAAGATTATAGGGAATTACTTTATGTTCATCACCATAGATCATTGATGAATTTGTTTGATTTTTAATCGTTAAATCACGATGATCATTGATTGTGATAGAATCTGAATCAAACATTGGTCCATAACGATCACGAATTGATTGTTGAAATTCATACAATAATATTTTGGAATTTTTTCTTGATCCAATCGTTCGATATTTACATTTTGATGATGATGATGATGATTCAATTTCCAATATTAATGGTAATCGAATTGGATATGAAATCATTGATAATGATTCGATTAATTGTTGATCACCAACAAAACGTTTAATATGAATAAATTTTTGATAATTTATCATATCGATCATAATCTAAAAATCATGGTTAAAAAATTGAAAATTATCAAGATTCACCATTGAATTTCTGAACTTACCCTTGCACCAAATTCTATTTCCGCATTATTCGATTCAATTATTGCATACAATTCTCGTTCAAAATTGATTGATTGATGATCACCATCATGATGATTATCTTGTTTAAGAATCAAACAAATTTCATCAATATTTTTCACTTTGATCGGTATTAATGAATAATAATTAGCCAGAAAATGATTCGAAACAATCGATTTGATTGTTTGTTTTTGTAAATTATCGATTGTATCGATTGTATCTGGTTGATTAATTTGTTTCGAATATCGATCAAAATCTTTTGTTGAATAACTTCCACCAACATTATCAATACCGGTTGGACCAATAAATTGTATGATTGGAAAATCAATTAGCATCGTTCCATTATCATCGTTGGCAACATCGTCGTTGGATGGTTGTTGTTGTTGCAAAACCTGATGACAAACAAGATTTTCCGCACAATCAACAGCAAACAATTTAACCAATTTTTGTTGTTTTTGCCATGATCGTATTGATCGAGAAAAATTTCTAAAAATTTTCGAAAATCTTTGACATTCAGGTGACCAATGTTTATAATAATTTATTATTATTAATCTATCTTTATTATAGGTTTGTATTTGTTGGAAAAATGTTTTATCCGTTAGCGAAACAATACTGTCATCATCATCAAGTTGATTATCATAAAGATTATTATTTGATTGTGTTTGAATTGATTGAAGAAAAAATATCGACACGACGATGATTACAACGATAATCCACTGGACAGGACGGTAATCCATCATTTTGGTTATATCAGAATCAAAGTCATTGCCGAAAACTGAGAAAAAAACAAAAACAGAAAAACAAACAATCCGGGAAACAAAATAAAGTAAGTCAAACAAAAAAAAATCTATAATAATTTTATTCAAATTCTATATAGAAAAAAACGCTAAAGAAAACACTGAGAATTCTATAGAAACAGAATATTCTTCTATAGAATTCTATTGGATTGTACAAATGCGCAAGAATCTACCGGCTGTCTTGATATTGAAGAAAGAAGAATCTTTCCATTACAAACTTTGTCCGTTCGGTTTGGTTGGTTTTTTTGGTGGCCGGTCCTGGAAAAATTTGTTTTTTTCCTTTGAATGACATTTCATTCGAAAGACATAATTAACCAACATGGTGACTCATCCTAATCATGATCAACAATGATAATATCGTCACGAATATTTAACCAACCAAAAGGTAATCAACCAATCAATCATTCAATCGTCATCGGTTGAATGACTAAACAATCTTGGATCTCACTCCCTGGAGAAATCTGGATGACTTTCATTTATTTCTTTTCCATCTCAATTCTCAATTTGCGTCATTCATTCAAAATTAACAATGTCGTTATTGACGTCATTCATTCATTCATTCATTTATACACTATACATGCTGTTGTTTGATTACATTGGAATCCTTCTCTCTCTCTCTCACACTCTTTATATTTTGGTGGTATAATCATACACACGCAACACAGCTGCAAAAATATTAATGTTCTTTTTGCCGTTATGCGTATTAACATCTTTATTATTTTTTCAAAAATGGCTTTATAATCAAAAACCAACTAAAACATTATCTTTATGAAACCCTGTGAATCGAATCAATAACTTTTTTTCGTCCTTAAAAAAAGATCCATTCATTTATTTTTTCATTTTGGTTATCTTCAATATCAGCAGCTACTTTGTGACAATTCCGATATTCGATCAATGTTTTTTTGTCTATCGGTTTTTTGATTAAGGTTTGACGTTATCGATTTTTTTGTGTGTGGCTAATTTCGATTATTATCATCAATAAAACTCCCGCATTTTCGAAATATCATCATCATTCAGCATTCGATCCACAACATAAACAACAAAATCCAATTTGCTAAATGGCAACAAATTCTCAATCAATTTCTAAACTGGAATTATTCATTGATGAAAAATTAATAGGATTCGAACAAAATATGGCCAAATTACAATTGAATGATGATAATGATGAAAGAACAATTGGTAAAAATATGCAACCAAAAATTATTTTTGAAGAATTAATTTTTGATAATGATAATAATGATGATAATAACAATAGTGAAAATGATGAAACTGATGATAATTCATCATTAATGTCAACATCATTATCATCATCATCATCGTATGTGATATCCAACAGCAGCAGCAGCAACAGTGCATTATCGGTTCCATCATTTTTCGAAACAATGGATCGACAATATGAAAAACGAAGACCACCATTCCATCAACAACATTCAGCTACGCCGACAGCAACAATAAGGATCTGAAAGGATTATCCGAAGACCACCACCACCATTCATCATTCCCCTGTTTTGAGCAGCAACGAAAAACACTGATTAGAAAATTTTTGATATAAAAATTTAAATAATAAAAAATTATATAAAGACTGTAAAAATGACCAACCAATTTTTTCATTTTTTCAATCCTGCTTTCGTGAAAACATCTTTCCAAAATTTTTCATAATCAATACTATCATCATGGTCATCATCATCAATCAACAATAATGTTTGATTAGTAAGATTGTTTAACATTGATGGTAATGTTATATTTGTCATTGATAATTGATTATTATCATCATCCTTATCATCATCTATAATGGCATTGATTGAAGCATCATCTGGTTTTGTTGTTTGTTTTTTTTCATTTGATTTTGTCGATGTCGATGATGATGATTGTAATAATGTTCGAAACAATGATGATGTATTATCATTATCCGCATTCATTTCTTTTTGGTCAGCATCTTGTTTATGATTCGAATCATCATCATCAACAACAGTTGTCGTCAATGATTGCCGTAAATGTTCGGTCAATTTTTCCACATCATCATTTGCTTTTGCAATTGGTCGTCGCTGTTTTCGAATCCTTTTTGATTCCGGTGGCAAATCAAGATAAACAGTTTGATCGGAAAATGGAATCAAATCAAATACCGATGGTGGAGACATAGTATCAACAGCTACACTACGTGTTATTTTTGTCGTCGTCGTCGCTTGTTGTTGTTTATCGTTGTCAATTTTATTCAATTTTGTTTGATTGTTTTCTGTTGTTGTCGTCATCGCTTGTTGTTTTTGTTGTTGTTTCATTCGATTAATTCGTTCTAAATATTGTTCATAACGATCGTTGATTAGTAACATTTTTGGTTTTGTTTGATGTTGCTGGATCATCATTGTATTTGTCGATTTTCGTTGATCATTTTTTATCTTTGTTGTTGTTTTTGATCGATTATGCCTTTGAATCGGAACAAATTCTTCAGTTTTCTCTTCGACGGCAACAGCAACAAAATCATTTTGATCAACTTGTACGGATCTATCTTCATGGCCGATTGTTTGTATGGATTTATCTTCAACCAAATGTTTATTATTAGTATTCTTTTTTTCATTAAAATCTTTTCGATATTCAGATAATTTTAATCGAAGTAATTGTAATTGTACTTTTGAATCAATTATTTCCTGATCAATAATGGTAATCATTTCGGTTCGTTTCGATCGAAATTGTTCAAAAGTTGATGACATTTTCATGAAAATTGCAATGATTATTTTGATTTCGAACGCGAAAAAAAATTCGAACGCGAAAAAAAACTCGATTCGAAAGCGCGCCCGCAAATGACTTTATTCACAAATGACGAACACAAATAAAGATTCGATAAAAAGATTTTGGATTCGAATATTTTTTTGTAAATTTAAAAATCTAATTACATAATTTTATTTTGTTTTTCTTGTTACAATTCGTTTACATTATAACAGAAAAAAATGATGATAATGATCTTGAAAAAATGGTGAAATTAATATGATATGATTTGATGAATTATGATGCAAGATGAAGATTTTATATTTTATGTTATCAGCAACGACCAACAATCAATTCAATTCTATGACATACGTTCATCACCACGTACAGCACGATATTTAGACATTTCATTTGGAAATTCTTGTGATAATTCTAGCAATAACAGTGCTTTAAAACGACGATATTCATCAATTTTTCCTTTGACCAGTTCATTTTTAGCTAATGATCTTTCCATACAATCTTTTGTATATGAATGTGGATTTCTACCTTCATCAATGTAGCTGTGATACGGTAATAATAATTGAAAAGTTAAACAAATTCGAATGAATCATGTTTCTAATCTAAACTTACTCAAAAACATCCAATGGAACTTGAATATCATTAACCTGATTTTTAACACGTTCAATATCTTTCAATAGACCGATTATTTGATTTCTAATTTGATCAGAAAAATGAATGTTTAAAAAATTCAAAATTCAAAAGAAACAAACCAAAAAATCTTACAATTTATTATTCAATGCTGTTTGTCCTTGTGGTTGAAAATCACTAACAATAATACCAAGTTGACGAAAATTTTCCACTAAACCTTCTAATGTTGTTTCCAACGAATCTAGGGCTGTTGATGATGCCATTTTTTTTGTTGAAAATTTTGAATTAAAAAGAAAAAAAATCTGACGAAAAAACAAAAATTTTTTTTTTGAGAAAAACGTCACAAAACTCAAAATGAAAACAAGAAAAAAAAAGAATTCCCAAATTTGGCAAAATTCATAAAAGACGTATTCGAATCTTTTTTTTCGAACTCAAAAAAAAGTTTTATCTTGATTTTTCGATGATAAATTTTCTATCCTTTTTGGAAAAAAGCTGATCATTTTATTTTGATTTTCTATCTTTTTATTTGCTCAATTCTGTATGATTTTTGTCACGAGACGAAATTCGTGATTTTTTTCGGACCAAAAACATGGACGATATTCGACAACAAGCAACTGGTGGTGGTGGTGGTAATGGTGATGAACCATCATCAATCAACAAATCAACGATTCATAATGCTGAAACATATCAACGATCATATAATCATTTGATTAATGAACAAGCTGATGATGACATTTTTCATAAAGTAAGTGGTTTAACTTCGAATTTTTCATCAAGAAATCGAAAGAATTCTTCATTTTCTTTTTCTTTCACATAAAGACATTCGAATCAAAAGCCAAATCGAACGAATCTGATCAGATTGATAATAAAGATGATATTGTTGATGATAATGATGACCAAAGAAAAAAAACTGGCCTTATCTATTATGATGATTGTATTGAACATTATTGTCTTTGGGATGATAATTATGAAGAAAATCCTCGACGTTATTTACGTACAATGGAACGATTATTTGAACAAGGTCTTTTGGATGAATGTCTACGATTAAAGGTTTGTTTTGTTTGTTTTTGACTAAATTAATTGATTGTTGTACAAAAATATTGATTGTTGGAATTCAAGCCAAGGAAAGCAAACGAAAATGAAATACAACTTGTTCATTCGTCGGAATATATTCGAAGAATTGAACAAATTTGTTCATTAATGGATCCAGAACAATTAGAACAAGAATCATCTCGATTTGATGCTGTATATTTTACACCAAGTTCATATGATTGTGCATTGTATGCAAGTGGTTCAGTTCTAGAATTATGTGATTCATTAATGTCCAATCGTATTCGAAATGGAATGGCTATTGTACGACCACCAGGTCATCATGCAATGAATAGCGAAGCATGTGGTTATTGTATTTTTAATAATGTAGCTATTGCAGCCAGATATTGTCAGGAAAAATATCATCTAAAACGAATATTGATTATTGATTGGGATGTACATCATGGCCAAGCAACACAACAAACATTTTATAAAGATCCAAACGTTTTTTATGTATCAATACATCGTTATGAACAAGGTTCATTTTGGCCTGAATTGATTGAATCAAATTATAATTTTTGTGGTGAATCCAGTGGTCGTGGTTTTAACATGAATATTCCATTGAATCAAACAGGATTAACTGATACTGATTATCTTTCCATATGGCATAATCTTTTACTGCCAGTTTTTTATGAATTTGATCCAGAATTAATACTTGTTTCAGCTGGTTATGATTCAGCAATTGGTTGTCCTGAAGGTGAAATGCTATTAACACCAGCCGTTTATAGCCATTTTACACATTATCTTATGGGTTTAGCTGATGGTAAACTAGGTATCATATTAGAAGGTGGTTATTGTATTGAATCATTAGCGGATAGTGTTGTTTGTACTGTACAAACATTAATTGGACAACCACCAATTCCATTGAATATGAAATATCCAATTAATCAATCTGTTATTGAATCTATATTGAATGTAATTACTGTTCATCAATCAAATTGGTCATCATTATGCATACAGAAAACATTCGATAGACATGATCCACATATAGATGATATTGAAGAACAAGCTATAAGAAAACGTCATTATCCAACATTAGAATATTGTGGCCTTGTAGATTTATTGGATAAACGTCCGGAAACATATCCAACAAGAGATTGTTATCCAAAACATTCGGAAGAAGATGGAAAAAAATTACAAAAAATAATAGAAATTTTACGACAAAATATTCAAGAAAAAACAATTCATTATGATCAAAATCGACGTACATGTTTGATTCGTTCATCAGATCAATCGAATAGACATTCAGCACCACAAACACATCCTGAACGACCAAATCGTATTCGTTATTTATGGCGTTTATTAAAAACGGAAAAAATTCTTGATAAATGTTTTGTACTAAATAATAATGATAATAATCGTTTGGTAACTGATCAAGAATTAACAAGTTGTCATTCAATGGATGCAATTGAAAAAATTTCACGAACAAAACAAATGGATTATAAAGAACTACGTGAATATGAACAACAATTTGATTCGATATATTTTACTCAAGATAGTTTTTTGGTGGCAAAATCATCGATTGGATCATTGCTGAAAGTTGTTGATTGTGTTTTACGTAATGAATGTTTGAATGGGTTTGCATGTATACGACCACCTGGACATCATGCAAAACGTTCAGAACCGGCAGGATTTTGCCTATTCAATCAAATTGCCATTGCTGCTCGATATGCATTGGAAAAATATCGATTACGACGAATATTGATTGTTGATTGGGATATACATCATGGTGATGGTATGTTTGTTTGTTTTTTTTTGTGATGTTTGGTGATATTGAAAATTGATTTTTGTTTGTTTTTCGATTATGATAAAACCAGGAACACAGGATATTGTTGCCGATGATGAACGAATTCTTTTCATATCATTACATCGTTATGATAATGGTGATTTTTATCCGGAAAATATTCAAGCATCAAATTATCGAACGGGAAAACGAAATATTATCAATATTCCTTGGTCAAATGGACAAATGGGTGATCGTGAATATTTAACAGCTTTTTTCAACATTGTTATGCCGGTTGCATATAATTTTAATCCTGAATTAGTATTGGTTAGTTCGGGTTTTGATGCAGCTGAAAATGATCCGATTGGTGATTATCATCTAACACCGGCTGTTTATGGTCATATGACACATTTATTATGTTCATTAGCAAATGGAAAAATTATTCTTTCATTAGAAGGTGGTTATCATTTACGTTCGATTGCAAATTCAGCATTAGAATGTATTCGTGTTTTATTGGGTGAAACACCAAAATCATTATCATCATCATCATCAAAATCGACGACAACGACCTTAATCAACAACGATGATGATGATAATAATAATAATAATGGTGATGATCAAAATCAAAAACAATGGAAATTAGATACAAATGCTATCGATACAATACGTAATGTTATTGATTATCATTCAGATTATTGGCCTTGTTTTGTTTTTAATGTTGATTTGGCTAAAAATACTATTGATTAAATTTATAAAAATTTAATTTAAAAAAAAAATATATTATCAAAAATTTGAAAAAAAAATTTAAAAAATAAAATCGATATAATCGATTGTCCGGCCAAATATCGATTGTTTTGTTTTTTGTTTTTTTGATCAAAATGAGGAGGAGGAGAAAGAAGAAGAAATATAGAACAGCCAGCAGCAGCAGCAGCGGCAGCAAAAGAGCTAAAACATGCACAGCAAGCAAGTCTTTTATATTTGCTGATGTTGATGCAACGTGTTTATTTCATTTTTTTTGCACAAACAAAAAAATTCTTTAAAAAATCTTTTGTTCACATTCGGTTTTCAACAAACAAAATAATTTTTTCTCTGATTTATTGGTTACGACAACAACAACAGGAAAATCATTCGATTCGAATCAAATTGTCGTCGTCGTCGAACATAAACCTAAAGAAGAATGGGTGACAATAATAAAAAAGATCAAGATTTAGCCAATTTATCGCAAGGTTTTAGTAAAAAGCTCAATGTTGATGCTCGTGAATTTGTGCCTTCATTTTTACAGCGGCAACAACCTTCAACAACAACGACGACCACAACAACATCAATTCCAGAATCGCAACAACAACAACAATCAAATAATGATGCTTCGACGACCAACCTCACCTCCTCCACTCAATCATCATCCGAATCACAAACATCAACTGCTCAATCTTCTAGAATAAACGCTACTGATGATAATCCGAAATTACCTGAAGATCCAGATGGTCAAGAAGTGGTCGATGATTGGGATGCCGGTGATAATGTTGATGATGATGATGTTGATGATGAAGAAGAAGAAGATGATGATGATGTCGATGATGATGATGATGAAACAATCGATAATAAATTGGAAAAAAAACCACGAACAAAATTGAAGAAAAAATCATCGAATAAACCAACAATGAAACATACAACCATAACAAAAGAACATCTAAATATTGTTTTCATTGGTCATGTTGATGCAGGAAAATCAACAATCGGTGGCCAACTATTATATCTAACCGGTATGGTTGATAAACGAACGTTGGATAAATATGAACGTGAAGCAAAAGAAAAAAATCGTGAATCATGGTATTTATCATGGGCATTGGATACAAATCAAGAAGAACGTGATAAAGGTAAAACTGTTGAAGTTGGTCGTGCATATTTCGAGACGGAAAATAAACATTTTACTCTGTTGGATGCACCTGGTCATCGTGGTTTCGTACCGAATATGATTGGTGGTGCATGTCAAGCTGATGTTGCTGTTTTGGTTATATCAGCTAGAAAAGGTGAATTTGAAACCGGATTTGAACGTGGTGGACAAACACGTGAACATGCTATGTTAGCTAAAACTGCAGGTAAGAGTTTTTTTTGTTAATTCGATTAACTCAGGGTTAATTTACCTTTGTTTGTTTGTTTAATTAACACTTAGGTGTAAAACATTTAATTGTTTTAATAAATAAAATGGATGATCCAACCGTAGAATGGTCTGAACAACGTTATCAAGAATGTCAAGATAAATTATTACCATATTTGAAAAAATGTGGTTTTAATCCAAAAACTGAATTATATTTTTTACCATGTTCCGGTTTAACAGGGGCATTTTTACGTGATGTTGCGGATGAAAAATTATGTCCTTGGTATAGGTAATGTTTAATTGAATATTTTTTATCAATCAAGAAACTGACTTTTTTCTGTTGAAATAGGGGACCATCATTTTTAGATTATCTGGATAAACTTCCATCATTTAAACGACAAATTGAAGGACCATTTCGTATGCCAATTGTTGATAAATATAAAGATATGGGTACAGTTGTTTTCGGAAAAATTGAAAGTGGTAGTACTGAACGTGGTGCACAATTATTATTAATGCCAAATCGTAAATTAGTGGAAGTACTACAATTATGGTCAGATGAAGATGAAGTTAGTCATGTTTCATCGGGTGAAAATGTTAAAATCAAACTAAAAGGTGTTGAAGAAGAAGAAGTTACAGCCGGTTTTGTACTTTGTGATCCAAATGATCCTTGTGCAACTGGTCGTGTGTTTGATGCACAGGTTGCCATTCTTGAACATAAATCAATTATTTGTCCAGGTTATTCAGCAGTTTTGCATATTAATTCAGCAATCGAAGAAGTTTGTGTTAAAAATATTATCGATCTTATTGATAAAAAAACTGGCCAACGTTGTAAGGTATGTCTCTTATTGATTATGTAACACAAGTTTTTTAATCCTTGATTATTCCAACAATAGGTAAAACCTCGATTTGTTAAACAAGATCAATTAGCATTAATGAGATTAGAATGTACGGGTGGTATGGTCTGTATGGAACCATTTAGTAAATTTCAACAAATGGGACGTTTTACATTGAGAGATGAAGGAAAAACAATTGCTATTGGTAAAGTGTTACGAATCGTTGAATGAGAAAAATTTGAAAATTGAAAAATTCATCAGTCAAGCCAGCAAGCATTTACAACCAACAATCAGCCAATCTTGATTGAATTTTTATGGTTCTTTTTTTTGTCTTTTTCTTAAAAAAAATTACGTTATATTTTTCTAATCAAACAAAAAATGAATGAATGAATGAAATTGATGGAGAAAGCAAACTTTATTATTATTATTATTGAATTATAATATTTGCATGCAAAACAAAACATTACAAGCAAAATGTTTTCTCTCTGGTGTGTTTACTGTGTGATAATCACAAGTTAGCAAGTGATGATTTTGAAAAGCAAAGGAGTTTCGGAAGTTTTTGAATCGAAGTTTTGTTATCTATCGGTATTCATTGTTGCTGTGTTTCGCATTTTGGATTTGATGAATTAAAATTTTGAAAAATTTGATTTGATGATTAATCCAGATCAACTTCTTGATTTGTTGTTGGTGGTGATGATTGAAAATTTAATTGTTGTTGCTGCGATTGCGATTGATCATTATCATCATCGGCTGACATATCGAATATTGATTGAATAAGATTAGAAAATATACCACCACCACCTTGTTGTTGTTGTCTTTTTTCCAAACCAAAATAAATTTGACCAATTTGTTGAAGATAATCTTTATAACAAGGATCACGACATAATGATTTATCATATAAATTACAAAGTATTTCGAATAATTGACTTTTACCGGGATAATGATCAATAGCCATTATTAGGAAAAATAAAAAATTCAATAATGGTGTCGTGAATGGTGGTTTATTCGAACGAATTTTCGGATGATTCATTGTATAACCTAAAAATACATTATGTGCTAATTGTTGATTTCGAATGCAAAGTACTTGCAATACAAATTGAGCTATCATTAGATCAATTTCATTCGGATAAGCAGATTTACATTGATATTCGATTAACATTAGGGCACAATTATCACCATTATCGGATGAATAAAGAAAATGTAAACGTGAATCAGAATAATTTTTTTCCGACCACAATGTTTGTGCAAAACGTTTACGAAGGTTGGCTATTGTCAGATATTTAATTTTCAATAATTTTGATATAAATTCTAAACGTTCAGGTGATTCGTTGGATATTTTCGAAAATAATCTTGTCATATCGTCCAATACTTTGGATTCATTGGGTTGATTTAATTGTTTTAAATCGGTTACTTTTGTCAACATTAAATCGGCTAATAATAATGCTAAATCCGAACCAGAATTTGGTTCACCTTTATCGAATAAACGTATCGAACCTTCATACAAAAGATTATAGATTTCAGCAAATTTATTCTCTCGTACTAAACGATAATAAATTGTTCGATAAATTTGATGTGCTTCATAATAATCGCCTTGATCAAAACGTTCATTCAATTTTTGTAATAAACGTCTTTGCATGATGATAATGATAATGGTGGTGATGATGATGAAGAAGATGGTAAAGAATAATGATAAAAATCCAAGAAAAGATTAGCCAAAAAACTGAATGATGAAATATTTTCTTCTTGACTCTTTCTCGTTGCACTCTTTTTTATCAGGCATTATCATCATCATCAACATCATCAGGCTATTTACACATTGATGATACCAAAAGGAGAACCACTACCACCAATATAGCTTACTCATTTAAATGATTCTATCGTTTATTCTCACTAATTTAAAGATATTTTTGATTGCCGTGAAATGTTCAATCATAAATGACGTATAATTCTTGTGTGATTGAAATTTGATTAAAATGTTTATCGATTGTGTGTTGCAAACAAACAAACAAAAAACAAAGAAATCATGGTAAAAAACTGACTGTTTTTTCTTTCTCAAGCGCATATTGTTGATATTGGTTTTTATTTTTATTTGTTGTTCGTTCTTTGAATGCAAAAAGAAAGAAAAAAACGAAAATTTTGTCAAACGAAAAATCTCAAATGATCAGATGACGATAATTGAGAGAAAATTATTCCTAAATTAAAATTGATTAATGCTCCATCCATTCGTTATTATTGTCGTTTTGTGATTGAATGTTTTGCCAAGAAGAAGAAGAATAATGAATCATTTTCGTGAACTAAACAACAATATCGATGATATTCCAATGAAATTTCAAGATAAATATATTAAATTATTGAATAATGTTTCAATTTTTATTGATAATTCAGATTGTGATGATGATGACGACGATGATGATGATGATGATATTGATCAATATAAAATTGAAGATTATAAATTTGATTCGGAATTGATTGCAATCGAAGTTTATGTTTTGAATGAAAAACGTAAAGCAGAACAATTACAACGATATGAAGCAAGGAAAAAAGAATTTACAGAAATGATGATGGCTAAACAGCAACAACAACAACAAACACCCGTGATATTATCATCGGCACCGCCATCCACTATCGCAACTTTTGTTGGTTCGAATGATTGGCAACAACAAGAACATCAACCAACGGCTACTGTAACCATAACAAATGATAATCATCGATCAAACGATGATAATAATGGTTCAACAACAAGATTATATAATTTTGTTTCGAATGAAATTCTAAAACCACAGCCATCTATGGCGAATAATGGTGGCAATAATAATAATTGTGATCCGACTGTGGCCAGTGCAAATTCATTCGAATCAAACATCGTTAATAATGAAATAACAACGACAACGATAAAAAATCCACATCCAAATCGTCATCATCATCATCATCATCGAACATTAGTCAATCCAAAAGAATTTGAAAATGATGATTCTAGTCCATTTGATAATGTTGAATTACAATCGATTGATGAATTTAAAGAATTGAATAAAGTTTTTGGTGCCTTAAATTTTTCTACAACAACGTCAACAACAACATCGTCATTATCATCATCATCACCTTTATCGACATCGGCTACAACAGTTCCACAGGTGCCCAGAAATTCTCCGATTAATCATCAACATCATTATCAACAACAGCATTTAAATCAAACAGTCGAAGATGCTCATAGTCATCCACCATTATCAACAACGACGACAACATCTTTTCCATTGAATAATTATTCATCATATCCGACAAATTATTCTCAAATGATGACTACTACTACTGCTGCTGCCGGGCATTATCATCCACAGCAGCAGCCATTCGGTTATTCACATCCCAATACAATGATGGTAATGGATAATCATCATCATAATTACCATCATTATTCGAATCATTATCCTTATCAACAACAACCAACTACAATGATAACAAATCCATTTTCATTTGAAATGAAAAGATCTTTATCGGAAAAAAAAGATTTCTATGAACCAAATAATAATAATCAATCTTTTTCAATGATGAATGCAATGACGCCGACAACAACAACATTATCATCAAGATCGAAAAGTGTTTCAGATTTAACACAAATACCATCATCATCATCAACGATAATTCAAAGCCCACATCATTCAAATGATTTAAGGCCTGCTAACTGTGATCAACAACAATTAATATATCCTAATCAAACAAATAATTTTTATTTGTTAAATAATAATAATCATGATCGTTCAAAAACACCACCATCTCGTATGCCTAATGATTATTATCGTCAACAACCTATCAACAACAACAATAACAACAACAATCCTGGAACAATGAATGATCCATATGATACATTATCGGATGATCAGAAAAAATTCATTGATCATCTTTGTCAAATGGGTTTTCGTCGTGATCGTATTGCCCGTGCAGTTAAACATATGGATTTAAATAATAATGATGATAAAAAATTATTTGAATATCTACTGGCATTACAACAGCTGGAAGATCAAGGTTATGATTGTTTGGATGCTGAAATTGCCCTACATTTTAATAATTATGATAAAAATAAGGTAATTATGTTGTTTTTTTTGTTACAATCAATCCTGATGATTAAAAACATTGTTTTTCTTCTTGAATAGGCCGAAAATTTCCTAAAAATATTAAAACAAATGTTGGATTTTGGTTTTGATCGACGAAAATCAATAAAAGCATTATTCAAAACAAATAACGATAGGGATAAAGCAATTGAATTATTGCTCAAAATGCATTGATTTTGGATTATCGGATTTTGGGCATACCTTGAGTCTTTTCTTCTTTTTTTGTTTTGATAAAATATATTTTTTTCTAAAAATGAATGAATTTTAATGTTTTTATCAATTTTTTTTAAATAAATAAAAAAATATAAATAAATAAAAAGATTTAATATTGAATATTGAATTTGGAAACCTTTTTTTTTTGTTTACGAAAATCAAATTACGATGATGATGATAACCATAAATCATTATAGGTTAAATTTAATTGTTTACCAATCGATAGATTTCTCATATTTTGTGTATAGAATGCCAATTCTTGTGTGACTAGCCTGAGGAATGAATTGGATTAATATTCTGTGAATGTGAAATTCATCAAAATCAAACAAACACTTACCCATGTTGTGGTCCACCATCATTCATAATTTTTAAACGAATTAATTGTTCACGAAAAATATCAATAACAATGGAATGAATTTTTTGAAATAATTTTTGTAAATCATCGGCAGGCAGAATATCTTGAACATTATCATGTAATCGGGATAAATGTTGGGAAATTATTTGAAATGATTGTGATGGTATTGGTGCTTTAGCAACCCATTTATTCCTAATGTGTACATCAATAACATCATGTACTAAATTGATAATTTTTTCCGGTATTTTATCCAAATGATTTACATATAATTCATTCAATTCATCCAAATGTTTAAGCATCGATAATGTTTTATTCGACAACAGACGTTGAAAATGATGACGAATACGTGGTAGGAAACGTTGAATAAAAATTAATGAACGCATTGATATTATTAATGTTCTTGCGGATATTGTTTTCAAACCGGCAACTTGTAATGCTTCAGCACCCAGAATTAGCTGTGATGTTCTTGAATTGAATAATTTTAGCAAATCAATCAAACGCATAAATATATCTGGACTTAGTGTTGAACCAAATTGTTGACCAAGTTGACAATAATCAATAATCATATAGACAAAATTAATCACAGTGTTTACAATAACAAAACGTTCACCATTTAACATTACATAAGACGTCGTTGATGACGAATCTTCGGAATTAAATCTAGAATTTTTAAAATCTTGATAAATTTGTATAAGATCATCATATTCATCCACCATAATAATTCGATGATAAAGTTGTTGAATTTGTACACTAATCGTATTCACTGGTTTCCATTGTTCTAAATCTAATAATTGTCGTAATTTTCTTTTACGTTCATCATGAAATTTTGATACAAATTTATTTGATTGTATTTGTATAACCAATTTCAAATTTGGACTACGACGACCGCAAACAATTTCACATTCATTACAAAATGATTCAATTGATTCGGTTAGTTGAAGAAATTGTCCAGAATCAAATCGATCCAAACTACCATCATTTGATCTTAATTCAATAATATTCGCTGTACGGCTATGTGCAAAATCACAAATTGAATGTAGAATTTCTTTTAACCGTGAACTTAGATCATAATAATCGATTGGTAGAATTAGTTTAGTACCATCATTATTATCATGGCCACCATCATTTTGATTATCATCTTTTGAATCGTGGCAAAATTGTAAATCATCGATTGTCGAAGTTAACGAAGAATTATTGCTATTATAAGTCATTGTAACAAATCCATCATTAATAACATCATAAACATAACGTACACGACGAAGTAAAATAATTAAACGTTCGAATACGGTGATCAAACAACCAATCCATTTATCAAAACAAAGCAATTTTAATTGATCAAAAAGACTTGAATCAATTCGAGCAACTTCAATATTATCTTCAGCCGATAATGTTTCAATAACCGTTTGTTTTACACTAGTTTTTATAGCTGTAAATGCTTCTTCACGAAATGTATCGATAAAATTAAAACGTTGTAGCTTTAGCATACCATAAATAATGGATAAAAATTTCTCCTTTTGTGAATCATATGAATTATCATCATTATTTTGGTCATCGTTTCCATTGTTGATCATTGGTCGATTCCATTCGGCAGTTAAATATTTAACAAATTCTTCATTCAACATTTGTTCGATAACCTTTTCAATTTCCATCAATTGTAACCGTAGATATCTGTGTAATGTGGAAATAGAAAAACGGAAAATGGATACGAAAATTTCAATCAAAATTTTTACCAAACTTACCGAAGACTAATAACACCATTTAATTCTTGTGCAACAACTTCTTCCGATGTTGAAATCAAATCCAATGCACCGGCATAATCATTTTTTGATAGCAATAATTGAATAGTTGGTTGTGTTTGATGTACAGTAGCGATCCAATTGATTTTTTTGAAAACATCACGATATTTTGTTCGTAATCGATTTGATTCATTAATTAATTGAACCGGTTTGATTAATGAATCATTAAGTTGATGACAAACCTGACGGATTTGTGTTACTTGCCGTATGGAATCTTTCAGTTTTTCCATTATTAAATCCATTGATGACATTACCTGGAAAAAATCTTGTGAACGATGACCAATTTGTTGTGAAAGATCTTGTTCAACAATATCCAAATATTCACTTAATAATTTTTGTATTTCATTCATTGATTTTGTTTGAAATAATGATTCTAAATCAAATTGTTGATCATTATTATCGATTTGTTGTTGTTGTTGATTATCACTATTCACAAACAATCTTATTAATTGTTGAAATGTTTCCGATTTATCGAGGTTGAAATCTGGATCGAAAAATAATCGTGGTACTAATCGACCAGAAATTGAATCACCCGCACTATCATCCGAACGATATTCAAAAGTTGATGATGATTGTGATCGATGGTGATGAGATTCGGGTATAGAACGTTTACGTTTTTGGATTTTTTTCATATAATTTTCAAATATTAACCGCGATGGTTTTTTTACCATTGCATATGATGGAACATGTCCGGTATCGATGAAATTCGCTCCCCAATCCTTAGTGAATAAATTATCATAATAACTTCTTGGTTTATACGGGTCATTTAGAATTGATGTTAAATCTTGTGATGCCGAAAATACATTCCAATTAATATTATCAATAACATTTGGTCGATCATTGATCGATGGTTGATTGGCCAGGAATGATCCAGTAGTTGGAATAATCGTCGACGATGGTCGAGGAAAATCATTATCATTATCATCACAGTTTTGATTATCATTAAGTTTGTTGATTTGTTTGACATTTTTCGTTGATGATGAAACATCGTTCGATTTAGATGTGGATTTGGATGTGGATGTTCCCGTAGGAAATATATGACATTTAGCAATATGTGTTTCATAATCACGACCATTTAAACCTTCATATGGTAATAATGGACACATACCATTCGAACCATATGAACAAACATATGAACCACCTTCAATTTTACTATGATATGTACGTAAATGATTACCAAAATGAAATGGTGATGAAAATATTATTGTTGTTTCATCACCATTCGTTGTACAAAATTCACAACGTTTCCAATGTTTTGTCGTCGTCGACGATGTTTGGCTCATTTTTGTATTCGTTTCCATCATCATCATCTTCGTTAACAATAAACAATGAATATTCGTAATCGAGGTATCGTCATTGTCTTTTTCTTTATAATTTCAAACACAAAAAAATCAAACGAAAATCATTAAAATGTTGATATCGTCATCATCATCATTATCATCAACCAAAAAACAAAAACAACAAAAATTGATCCGTATGGTACGTATATCGAATAACAACAAAACATTCTTTTCATAATTTTTTTCTGGCCAATAGATGGCACTATCGATTTAACAATCGATTATTTCGTTCAGCATGATTCGATTCGAATTCTTCCTGTTTCTGGTTTCGGTGTGATATTGATTGTGATGGTGATTATGATTAATGAATTTCTTGAAGCAATTTCTTCCCGGAAAAACTAACAACTCAATCAGAGAACAAAACAAACAACAACAACAACAAGAAGATGAAAAAACAAAAAGAAGATTCCTAATTAATTATCCATGGTAATCATTTTAAATTCCATGAATATAATTTCATTGTTAACAAATTTTTTTCAATTTCATTATGACCATCTCTATGACCATCATTATTATCATCAAAAAAAATTACGCCGACAAATTCTCCATTGACAAATGATGATGATTCGGATCATCATCATGATGGTCGTTTTATTTAGTTTTTTGTTGTTTTTTATTTTTTGTCATGGAAATTCACCCAAAAGCAAAAAAAGCCGTTTTCTTCTTTTCTATGTTTGTTAATTCGACATTAATGACACCATAATGCCATCACAGAACACATCACATCACATATCACAAACATCACAGCACATATCATCATCATCATATTCATCATTAGTCGTCAATGATGATGATGATAATATAACATTCCAATGGAATATCCGAAACATCAAACATCATCTTGAAGGGTCATATAATAATTCTTCATCATAGTCATATCATCAACAGTTGATAATGATTGTTATCAAAATTGTAAAGTGATACACTTGTCCTCTTCTTTTTTTTTTGATCATCATCATTTCATTAATGGTCTTGTCACACCAAAAAAAAAACACACTACTTTGCTTCAAATCTTTGAATCTTATCCTTGAAAATGATCTCTATTTTCTGCTGCCAAACAAAACAAAACGAAAAAAGAACCATTTATTATGATATGATCATCATACAATATGCACTGCTTTTTTGGGTTGTTTTTTGTGTGTGTGTGAAACACTTGATCATCATCATTGATCATTATCCACTAACCAGAAACCAGGAGAAAAAAAAGATTCAATGAATGAAAAAAAAAATGTTATGAATGAGTCCCCACCACCACCATCGATAATACTATTGCTGCCTACTTGTTGCCTGTTGTTGTTGACAATGATGATGTTGATGGGAACCGACCGACCGAACGACAAAAAAAAACCCTACAAGATTATTGATTTTTGTTTTGGTCCTTGTTGTCGTCATCGTTAATTTTCATTCAATCAATAAAAACTTAGTGGTAGTGTTTATTTTCTCCCATTTTTTTCAGTGTGTGAGAAACAACTACAACAATATCTTCTCAATATTAAATGGAGGACTGTAATATGTCACTC